CCTGTAAAGCCTGTAGAGGATGCTGCTGTGCAATGAAACCTACAGTGCCACAAGTTTTTCATATGAGAAACTGTTTACAATGTAATTTTAAAACTCTGCCTTAGACTACAGTCAGTAATTTGCATAGGAATGATCTGTCTAGGTGAAAATGTCTGAAACATTAAGATGGAATATTTGCAACATGTATCAGTTCTGATGTCACAATGGGATTTGAAGGGGGAGGAGCTGTGAATGACCTCAATTCATTGAAAGGTTTCTGAACATTTAAAATGGGAACAACTCAGAAAATGTCTTTCAGAGTGATTCTCTCTGGCCGATTAACTTCTATGACAACAGCCAATGAGGTATGTAGATCAGAATAACTTCATTTTTAATATTTCTATAAACTTTAAAAAAAAAAAAAATAGCTGGAATTCATGTCACCATTGTAACGGGTTTTGCAATTTTTAATATTATTATTGCTAGAACCTTATGTGAGGGTGTGAGGTAACCTGGATTTCTTTGAAGTCTACAGACCAGGGCAAGAGAGAGAAAAGCTCGCACCAAGGATGCTTCAGAAAAGGGAATTTATTGGCCAAATATCAAACTACTTTTGGACTTCATTCAATGATAAACAATAGAAAATAGCACCAGAAAACAAAACAAAACAAAGTGATAGTAATGAAAGACAAAATAGCTCGAGTAAGTTAGAGTGATTCGCGGCTAAATGGTATGAGGCAGTGTGGTTTGGGGGAGCCGCTTGGGAGAGCCTCTAGAGAATTAACCTAAGCCTGGACGGGAATAACTATATGGCTGGATGTACCTTTAAAAGTTCTCTTATTAAATAAATTGGCGTCAGGGCCCTGACTGCAAATTGATGGTTCCAGCTTACGTGGGAGTCGGGGGCTGACTTCAGGCGGGGTCGTCTCAGGACAGACTCGATCGAAGGTCGAGTCTGTCCTGAGAAAGCTCACGCGGTGGTTCCTCTCCTCGCTGGCCGTGGATGCTGCATCTCCGTGCGGGCACGCGCCTTCCCGTCAGTGATTGGGCGGACGCGTCTCGTGGCCGTCTGACGGTGGAGCTTGGGCGGCCTTTCGAGGGTCGATCTGTTCACAGATCAGTGCGTGGCTCTGGGTGCGATGCTGGGTCTCCGTGGCGTCAGAACCGCTCCCACTCCGCTGGCGAGGTTCAGGTTGCAATCAGGGTTCTGAGGTTGGTGGTACCAATTTAACTAACTACCTCTCTTTAGCAGAATCGAAAGTTATGGATATATTCTCCCGGGCCAGACAAGAAATATCCACCTTCCTTCTCTGAGGGTGGTTCAAACTTAAGGTGTGTAGACGAACAGGCAAGTTACAAACAAAGAAAGGTTTCAGATCTGAAAATTTAGCGTCCTAATACTTCTGACCTGTCTTTCTGACCTAGGCCGGCACAAACTTAGAAACTTGTTGCGAACGCAGGAACTCCCCAAATTTGCGGTGCACTCTGGTTTTGTTCAGCTGGAGGCCCTTCCCTTCAGGGGTGGAACCCAGGTGTTGATAGGTTCTCTCACCTAACGGGTAATTAGCTATTCCTAATTCTTGGTCCTGATTGGTGGGGGTTTCTCTGTGCGCCCTACCAGGGAACTCCCTCCTTTGTTCCTTCTAGGTTTAAAAGTTTAATTCGATTAAACAAAACAGTTTTCAGATCAATTAGGTTACTAAAATCCATAACCTACAAACCCAACATTTAGGTATCTACGTGCAGTTTCTACCCACATTATCTGAGAACAACTATGCCAAAGGCAGAAACAATCTTATAGATAATCCTTGGGTGTCTTTTCATTGCAGAAACTTTCAACACAGTAAAATCATTACTTCAAATGACTAAATCAAGTAAACGAGAAGAGTAAAAAAAATAGAAGGCTAAATAAAACAAGTGAAAAGAAAACCTAGGTGCATACTTAGAAAATCACTACTTTAAATGGTTATTTCGGTTACTTTCGGACAGTTATTCCACACATTCCTAACGCCTGGTAAAAGAAAGGATGAATACACACTAAGAAACTGAGTATAAAAATACAAGCATCATCACTTGTGAATTAGATAAGGTTGATAGTCAAACATGCATATCAATAAGTTTTCCTGGAGTCCTTTGTGAGTAACAGTCCTTAGGTGGTAGCGTGGTAATTCTCGTTTTCACCCCTTGGGGTTGCTGTGGGTCCATGCTTGAGATCCCTAGGGAATTTAGAAAGTTGTAATTTTGCCGTCCAAAGTCGTACAAATTCCGTTTTGGTATGTCTAGTTTAGTTAAAAAGAGTTCTAACGAATGGTTGCAGTTTGGAGGGGACAAACACCTTAGAAATGTACTTTCTGTTACTTAAGATAAAAAGTTGTCCACAGGATTTTGGAGAGCCGTGCAGCTGCATTCCAGTGAAGGGTCCTGTTTTTCTCCAGGTCAAAGGAGAGGGGTGCAGCCTCTTGATTCAGCCGTAAATCTGACTGAGTCTGGGGTTGGGGTATTAAGCCGACAGCTTTATGCCACAATCCCAGACCTGATGGACCCAAAAAGGCCCTTAACTTTTGGGTAAACACTCTGCCGGAGGTAGAGTTTCGGCCAGTGTTCGCTACACCATTGATACCCTGGTAAGTGCTATTTGTTGGGGTAGTTTTAAGTGACTAATGCAACTAAAGGAATTTGACTAAAAGGTCTCCTCTGTTCTTGGACTATGTCAGTTTTAGTTCTGAATGTGACCCTAGCTCTAGCTCTCTTACCTAAATTGCATTGTAAGTGCTAACAAGTTGGGGCAACATTTGGAGACTTTTACCATCAAGAATATGGCCTATAATACTGAATAACACTGGAGAATGTATGACAAGAGAATTTGAAGTAACTGGCAGGAATCTGCTTCAACTTTAGCATCTTTCTCTTCAAAAGTATCAAGAAAGTGCTATCAAGTTGGGGTATATTTTTGATCAGAGTACTCATGCAAAACAAGATACTTATTTATCTCAGCTAAGAAGTGTTTTGAGACCACCACAAAGTGGAGCATTGATTGTTTAATACACAGAATAAGTGCTTCTCTTTGGGGTAGTTTCATGGGCATCCTGGTCCACTCTCTGCTCAATTTAGTTCATACCCTGTAAAGCCTGTAGAGGATGCTGCTGTGCAATGAAACCTACAGTGCCACAAGTTTTCCATATGAGAAACTGTTTACAATGTAATTTTAAAACTCTGCCTTAGACTACAGTCAGTAATTTGCATAGGAATGATCTGTCTAGGTGAAAATGTCTGAAACATTAAGATGGAATATTTGCAACATGTATCAGTTCTGATGTCACAATGGGTAAAAATGGCATGTTATTATGTAGTCAGTACAGACCAGAACGGTGGCACGGTGCCCTGTGCACAAGTAGGCTAACGGCTCCCTGAAACGATGGGATTTGAAGGGTTAGATTGATGCGATAATGGACAGAGATGTTCTTTTTAGTTTTCATTTTAATTTGGTATGCTAAAACATGGACGCTGAACATTTCTTCCACTAACTGTTCGACATCCCCTCACACTGCAGCTTGACCAGGAATAAAAACGACTGCATTGTGTCTTCATGTCTGTTAAATATAAGCATTAGAAAGTGCAGTTTAGTGAAGATTGTGATTGTAGTCTGTCTTCCTTCATTTCATCACCAAAGTGCACGTTTAAAAGAAAATGAGAGAACAAATTAATTGTTGGAACGAATTAAGAAATCGTAACCACAAATAAAACGTGCAAAATGCAAACAATTTATTTGAGAGAATGTTTATTTTTATCCTGTCCCCTCCGAGACGGAATAGTTCACCAACCAAAAATATCCAGCCAACAGTGTCCTGTGGCAACGACTGTGGAACAAAAATTTGAAAAAAATATTTATTTCATGATAAGATTTAGTATTTTTTCTTGTTAAACACTGGCACTCTGGCCAAAATGAAAAATTCAGCCATCGCTACATCTTTTGTAAATGTGTCTATTTGCCTCCTACAGCAGTGTCGCAGTAGTCTCTAGAACAGTGGTCTTAAAACCTGATCCTGGAGCGCTACCTTCGTGCAGAGCCTAGTTCCAACCACAATTTGCCACACCTACTCCAGCTAATCAACCTCTTTCCATGTCCCTGATTCAGCTGGATCACATGTAGTAGAGTTAAGTAAGGGGTCGGGCAGCTTACAGGATACAGGTTGGAACTAAACTCTGCAGGAAGGTAGCTCTTCAGGACCACGGTTTTAGAGCACAGCTCTAAAATGGGATTTTCTGGTTTAAAAACAAGGTAAAAAAACTGCATCTAATAAAATATATTAAAGTTCGGAGAAACATCTGAAAAACTCCAAGCAGTTTAGGGCAGATACCCTACCCTTACCCTTATTTCCATTAGCCTCACAGCCAAACAGCTAATGTTACTGCTAGAAAGCTGAATCTCGTCTGTCATTAAATCGCCATGGGGAAATTCTTAATAGTTTTATGGCATAATTGTAGAATGCATAGTGTAGAGAGAGAACATTGCTGGACACTGACAAAGAATACAAAATCATAAAGTCTGTAAAATGCTATGCTATGCTGTGCTACAGAATATTACATCAAATAACAAAAATGTTCTCACCATGTTGTCTGCTGGCTCCACTACCACATTACCACTCTTACCTCAGTCATGACTAGTTTGGACCCAAATTTCTGCAAAAACCATGACAAACTACATTGTAAAATGCACTACACAGTTGTGTGCAAGAATATGAACACACCCTTAACAAATTACACATATTTCTTGTGTGTAATGAAGTAAAGAACATCTGCTGCAAACTATGCAGTTACTTTATACATGTATGGCATGTATACGTTTGGGCAAATGAAAACGTCTCAAAATGACACTCATTGATGCCTCCAAAGCATGGGAAGGCCATAAAAAGATATCAAGTTAATGGGAACTGTGGAACAGTGGCAAAATCTGGAAGAACAAGAAAATTCTCAGACAGAACCACTTTTATCCCAGCCAGAAAGGCAAAGCAAAACCCCCATATGACAGCAAGGACCTGCAGGAAGGCTTAAAAGGTTTTGGTGCAGCGTTACTTGCACAAACACAATCTGCATGGAAGAGTCATCAGAAAGAAACCTTACCAGTAACCTCATCATAGTCAACATCTGAAGTATGAAAAACATCTAGATCAGGGTGTCCAAACCTTTTTCAAAGAGGGCCAGATCGGACCATGTCAAAATACTTGAGGGCTGAAATATTATTCACAAATGATTAAAAATACTGCATTTTCAAAGGATCAAAAACACAACCATGTAGAAAAATTGATAGAACAGAGTGTCTTGCTGACAATCCATCCTGAGAATTTGGTGATGACCCTTAAACATGTATCACTTTGGCACCAGAGCATAACTTTGCCCCCCCCCCCAAATATTTATTGCAACATCCATGCTTTGTTTCATGTCTATTCAGATTAATTAGTCTTTTGCCATATGAGGGACATACATTTGCTGCGACTCTTAATGAAAAAGCATTCAAATGTCCATCTCTCCAAGATCGCTGGTTCTCAATGTCAAGTTTGGGCTTTGATCTTGACTAAAGGCCACCATCAGATAAAAGGTAAAAATGCAATGTATTGGCTGCCAGGCTACTTAAAAAACACACTCTAAAACAGAAGCCACAGCCCAAATAAAATCCGGCATCTTGGTAAACCAGAGGCATTTTAAAACAAGTGCTGTGAACTGATGAGGTAAAAACTGCCTGTTAGTCTCTGATCGTATGCTAGAAGAAAAAAAGCAGCATTTGATGAAAAGAACACCTTATTAACTGGTAAGCGCTGATCTATCCTGCTTTGGGGTTATGTGGCGGCCAGCAGCACTGGAAACACTGCAGAGGTAGATGGAAGAATGAAGCACTAAATATCAGTGAAAAGCAAATGTGAAGCTTAAAAAGAAGCCTAAAAGAGTGTGGCATTTAAAATAAGACAATGATCTAAAACCTACCTCAAAATTCACCATGAACTAAAACTAAGGCTTTTGTAATGGCTCTTACAGTTACCAAACATACTGTGCATGCAAGATATCCCATAATAAGCCACAACTGCTACACATTTTATTTTTTCCCCCACTTAAGAACATCAACTATAAACTAAATGCATTTTTTTAAGTTTGTGTTCACTTCTGTTTTTACCTCAATCAACAAAAAAAAACCTTTTGCATACAACCGCACAAATAAAACTGAATTACATTCAACTGTTTTGTTGAAAAATTTTAGGATCTTTATTACATATAGAACATCATAAATAAAAAAGTGCGTAGAAAAATTTAACAGGTTCTGAAATTTTTGTACAACTATATACAAAGACGCACTGTGCTAAATAACATGGACAAGTTCCTCATGCTAAGTTAGGGACTCAATCCGTACTCTTCATGTTAAGTAAACAAAACATTCTATACAAAAACACAAGGGAGGACCTGAAGCCCACTGAAAGCAAAGGAAAAAAAATCTGCAGTCAAATTGCATAAACTCAATGCTAGTGAAAAACTGCAGCAAATTTTTTTGCTACTGTTCAATCGTATTTCACTAGCTATCATGGGTCATGCGCCACTGAGGTAGTAGATCTGCAAAGTGTCCCTGGTATGACTGGCTATGAAAGAGAGAGCAAAAGAAGAACACATGGCTATAAGAAGCATGGTCATTTCCTTCAAGTTATTTTTTTAGATTCGTCCAATTACAACAGCTGTGTTTTAAAATTTTTAGCTTTAAGTGATAATACAAGCTGGACAGCCAAATTATTTGATAAGCTTATGCTATACATGTACTACCATCTGGGTGTCAATTCTCAACTGCAACTGCAAAAAATGTATAAAAACTAGACAGAATTATTAAAAAAAAAGAACAAAAAAGAAAGAAATGAGAAGCGCACACACACACACACACACACACACACACACAATTAAAAATAAATTGCCCAGAGCAGACCTTTAAGCACCTACCATTCATATATACAGAATTTTATCTGCACATAGTTGGGATACGCAATGAACGGGGTAAAAAATAAAATTCTGTACAGGTACCCAAATGTGGAAAGCTGTAGGAAATCCAAACTTTGGAAGAGAAATCTCACACAAATTGACAGCACAGTAATCACAAGAGAAAGAAAGCTGTTTGGAAGTTTAAAAAGCAGCAGAAAAAAAAAATCTGGTACTCTGATTAGCACCATCATTTAAAATATATTCACTGAAGCCTCTGTTCACTGAAAAAACATCACTCAAAGTCCCACAAACAGGGTATAATAATTCAACTCTGATAAATACAGAGCTATACTGGTAAGGTGCTAATTGAGGACTCTCTACAGAGCTCTTCCGAATCAGTAGCAAAAATGCAAAAACACCCTTAAAACATACAAGACTGGGTTTACACTCAGCAGCCCTAGTGAACTGAAGTACTGCACTATGGCTGTAAGCAGCCATTAAGAAAACATCAGGTACAAAGCTGAAGATTTTTCACTCAATGAAAATGGGAAAGGCCATTTCACTCTATGTCCCAACAAGAATGAAATATGGCCACAGAGTTCTGAGGGACGTCTTTTTTTTAGCAACTCAATTATGAGCAAGAGGACTACAGTACTAAGGAGTGAGAGAACTGGAAAATCTGTCCATTAGATGTGCTGGTCCTTGGCCCAAAAAGGTTTCAACTTGCCCACATGCATGCCAATATGTTGAGCTGTTTGCAAAGACAAATGGTTGCTCATTGAAGCCAGTATTTCTCAAACCCAGGAAACACTGACTTAAGCTAAAATGTTTCTTTCCACACGGAATTGCCTACCTCCCTTATTTACTTCCTATCTTGCCCCTGAGTACCTTCATCCATGTTTAAGTCCTAGTTCAATCCAACCATGTTCAAATCCTAATTCAAAAAGCGTCTACATCGTCTAGCTCCACAGTTACAGTGCAGCTTGTTGCTGGCATCTTCAATGGGGAACTTGTAATCGTAGGTGAGTTCCTCCCCACGGTAGATCTTCCTCAAAGCAAATATGACGATGTGCTTCCGGCCTTCCACATTAATGACCCGCGAGTAACAGTTGGGCTCACATGAGTGGTTAATAAAACGTGCTGCATTGCCATGCATGGTGGCATCCACGACATCAAAATCATCAATACGAAACATGTAGCAGCCAATGCCCTTTGGAGAGAAAGTGAGAGACAGATACCAGGAGTAAGCAAAAGACTATCTATCAAGACATAAGAAGAAAACACACACACAGAGGTCACATTTTCCTATCCTCATGGGGAAAGAAGTGATCTCATAATGAGAACGTTTGAGGACAAACATGAGAAAATTTGGGCTGATGGTCGGAGGGAAATTAGACTTATTAGGGTGGGAATAAAGTGTGAAATATCTAAACCAATCCATCTCCTTGTGAAGTAAGAGTGCAAAATGGGGGTGAAGATGCGCTTGTCAACTGTAAAGTCCCCCCAAAAACCTCCAAATCAGCACGTAGAAGCGTCTCTCGTGTGCGGAGAACATAATATATGCAGTTAAATTAAACATAAGATCTCGCAAGTTCTGCCTACAAGGGAATCTGGGTTTTACGGCAGATTTTGCTGCAACCCAGCACAAAAAGTTTAGGAAGTTGTTCGCAGATGTGTATTCTCATTGAAAGATCACCCCTGGCCCCACAGGACTAACAATTTCCTTGAACTGTTATTAGCTAGGTGATGCAAAAGCATTTTTAAATATCAAAATAAAACTTCAAATAAACCTTCATGTAATGGTTCGGTTAGTTACAAAGATGACTGAAGGAAATAACTCAAACAGTGCTCACTATCAGAATAAGGATATTCATGAGTTCACCAACATAGCATACCTTACTGTCGTAGTATTTCTCCCGCTTGTCAGTTAAAACTGAACGAATGACATTACCAGCATACTCAATCACCATCTCTCCAGCTTCTATGTTCCTCTTGCAGAAAAGACCACGCCCATGAATGGCAGACCTAACATAAAGGAAACCACATGAGGGCACTGTTCAAATGGCCAAAATGAAAGTTATAACCATCACTACATGTGTCATTACAGCAGTAGTTTGATTTCCTGGTTTAAAGGCTAGGAAAACCCCCTTTTTTGATGTATCATCTTATAAATTCAGAAATCTTGGGGGCTGTTTGATTGTTTAATTAATAACTTCTTTAACAAGGAAAAGTGTGGTGACCAGGTGGGTTTACATGTATACACATGTATACATCAGCCTTTCGACCAGTGGCTACTAGTTAGGATTTTCTTTCCCAAAATTTGTAAGGTTATTTAAAGTCACACAATTTATTTTAAAATTTTGCAACATGCACAGTTTGGCTTCTTTACCTATAAACTCCTACGGCTTCTTTAGATGTTTTCTCAAGGTGCCTGAACCTCATTGCCATCGGTAATTCTGTACTGGTCGCACGTCTGAAAAAAGATATTTCATAGAGGACGTTGACATTAACATCAGAGGCATATTTTAGTTTAAGAATGGAGGTTAAAAGAAGGTACATAACAGGGTTCCATGGATAATTTCAGGATTGTTTACAAACTACACAGCTGAAAAATATAACTACATGCCACCAATATAAACACACTGCCACCAGATCAGTAATCCTGAAAAAAGAAGAAAAAAAAAAAGAAGAAAAAGTCATTATTTGTAAGACAATCAAAACAGTGCTAAGTCACATATCTGACCTGCTGGATTTAAGCTTAATGTCATCCTCGTCTTCATCACAGGGCCTGCTCTCAGGAAGCTGCCGATGTTGGGAAGCCAAGAAGTTGAACATGTCAAATGTGGACTTCCTGCAGGACATGGAACCAGAATTCTTTGTCACAAGACTTGACATGAATGTTCTGTGCATCAAACATACCTATCCACATGACAAATCTAGATGAAACATGTAGCAGCCCATTTCAGTGTCACACTGGAGTGCTGACCCACAGGAAAAATACCATCAGAAACAGTATTTTTGTGAGTAATAAAAGTTTAATGTTTAGCCGCTGTAAAGTCTGTTCATTCAGTAGATTTCTACAGATTTCACGCTCCTAAATCTTCACATCAAGTCCAATATTCTTTTTTTTATCTAATTGAGAATGTGGGAGGATGTAGATGAGTTCAGCTCTATCTGCTGACAACACAGCAACTAATCACAGTTCATAGTTCATATCTAAATTAGTTTACATCCAATCAACTGAGGTTTTCCATTAGTAGCTCATACCTCATGTAGACCTCAGCACGAGCACAGCCACTAGGATTTACTGGCGGCTCTTTCTCTGGTTTCTCATGCTGGTGGAAACGGAATCGGTGGCTCTGGCACTGGGGAGCGCCCTGCAGCTGCTCCAGGAGGAATAGCACAGCATCGTGGATGACACCAAGTACCCTGGCTCCACTCATTCTGCCTAGAGGCAACTGTTCGAGCCTATAGCCCGTCCGTGCCTCCTGGACACCATCCACCACTGCCCTCCACGCCACTGAGGGGAGATAATTGGGAGTAAATAAAATATAAACAAGATAGAAAAAAATGTAACTTCGAACTCCTCCTACCTAAAATAAGCTGTTAGGAAAATTCTCACCCTCAATGCTGTCTGCTTCCACACTGAAGCCATCATCGCTAGTGATTTTGAAGAGCAGGTGCGGCTGATTTTGACCAGCACATTCATTCTGCTCCTGCTTAAAGGGTGATGGAGAGTCCTCATCTGAACTCCAATCTGATGCAAAAGATGAAGATGTGACAAAACTAAACTTGCAGTTGCATGCAACATGTATGACAAGATATAGGAATTAGAAGTAGGAATACTTACAAATACATATACAACAATACAATACCTGCACAGGGAGTCCAGTCAGACAGGTCACTGTTTCTAGAGCTGACCCATTCATGAGTTTTGTCATGGATGCCCCTCTCTCCTTCCTGCGGTTCACTGGATTCACATTCTATTGGAGTAACTCTATACAAAAAAAAAAAAACATACTGAAGGTGGTCTATGCACATATACCTAATAGCTGCAAAAGTGCACATAAATCAGTAGCTAACCTTTTGTTTTCAAAGTCTTTGGCTTCAGCAGTCTTTGGTCCAGGGAGATTTTCAGCTTCTGTGTGGTCAAAGTCCAGCACGTCCTTAAAGGTTGGGGCCTTAATGCGTACCTTGTTAAATCTACAATTCAAGAAAACAATGTTTCTGAGCAATTCACCAAAACACACACTGATAAACACCAGTTTAATTCACCTCCTGTCCGACTCACCTGTTAAGTTCATCCTGAGAGCTAGAAACCGTCGGCTCTATAAAGTCAGTCTTGGATTTCTTTATGCTTGTTCGCTCTGATGCTGAAGACACCCTCTTGACTCTGACCTGAGACTTTGAACGGGACAGAATGGCAGGCTGAGTCCGGTGTTGCAGTTTCGAAGACTGTTCTACCATATCAGGAGAGTGGAGCTTGCTAAGGTATGGGTGGACCTGGAACTGGGATGGACTCAGCACACCAGGGTTTGCCATTTCTCGGTGGCTTGCCATGGCTCTCTCTATTATAGCCTGTGCGTCATCTCTCTGGTTTACTTCTGATACTGGCGAGACTGGCACAGCTGTATTGTTCAGTCTTACACCACTGTTCATTTGCACTTCTGAAAACTTTTGAGGTAGCTTCCTGATGAAAACCTTAGTAGAGGGCACAGCTCCATTGCTGTATGATACTACATGTGTGGTTGGAGCTTGGCTGGGGCTTGCTTGAGGCACAGGGGTTACCACAACTCTTGGAACAGATCTCTGAACAAGGTTACTGCTGTGGATGATCTTAGCAATTTGTCTAATGTGGCTGAAAGATGGTGAATTAGCACTAGGCAGCTGGTAAGTGTTGGTCTGTGGGTCTTTTATTAAAACCTGACCAGAACGGTTGACAAGCAAAACCTGTGGGCTGGGTAATGCACCAGTCCCACTTGATACTCTAGAAGCAGGAATGCGGATGGCAAGAGTTCGGCTCCTTGGGGCTTCCTTGGGAGAATCCAGACCATTGACTGCTACCTGAGAGGAAGCAACAACTAGGTTTTTTTGAAAAGCTGAGGCAGCTGGTGATGTGGAAACCATGTTGACAGGAACAGACAGAGGTAACGATGTGCCAGCTGGCACAGTCATCTTCACTATTCTGTGCTGTGGTATAGTCTGTGGAATGACATATCTCTTAAGATGGAGTGCACCTGGACCAGTGACTTTGCCGACACTGTTTAAAGAAGGGGCTGATACGACCTTCACTGTAGGCTCTGGCAAGACAATCTGCTCTGGCGATTTTACATCCTTGTTTACGGAGTTGACTGATGAGGAGTCAAACATATGCACTATGCTGCCATCTTTAGCAGAGACAAAATGACCCATCTCAGGATCCAACAACACTTCATTTAAATCCTCTACAGGTTCACTGTCTGCCAAAATGTCCTCTTGTCCAGCAACAAGATCAATACTTGGATCAAAAACTGGGGAAGTTGGTAACACATTTTCTATTACTGCCTCAGATACTGACTGCATTTCTTGCAGCGTTAAATCCTGTGTAGATATGCTGTCTTGTGCTGCGAATACTTCAGTGGCAGAATCAACAAGTACATCCCAACCCTCCTGTAAGGGCACTGATTCCTGTAACTCTTGCTGATCAGAAAGTTGATTTACAGCGGTTTTCTGAAAAACCTCTGGCTCAGCATGGCTCAGAATGGATTCTGGCACAAAGGACTCGACTGTGCTTGTGCAAACTAGCTCCCTTCCGGAGTTAGGAGTGATGCTCTTTGATGGCTCAGTATCCTGACTATGATAACTATTCCCTACTTCCTGAGTGTTGTCCTCTCCACTGGCTTCGCTTGCATCACTTTCTGAATCATTATCTGCTCCATCCAGCTGAGAGATGGACTGTGAGGTAGGAAGAACAGTTAGCCCTGCCTGTGCAGAGTCCTTGACAGAATCACAGACCACTACTGTGCGAGAGAAATTAAGATAATGGTCAGAGTCTCCATCAACAGAGTCTCCATCTACCTCTATCTGCCCTCCAGGGTCTGCAAGGCCAGGCAAGTCTTTTTCACTAGCACTGTATATACTGGTATCTTCATCTGAAATCCGGCCTAGCAAGCTGTTCCCCTCAGTATGTGCTCCGTGACCCTCCCTGATTTCTTGTGCTTCTGCTCCACTACCATACAGTCCACAGTGCAGTGCCACGTTCTCATTTAGCAGCGCTTCATCAAACTCCAGCTTTGCATTCAGCACAGAGGCCACAGCAACATCCGTATCAGCATCAAAGTGTGTGGAGAGCAACTCTTGATCTGACGGCAGTGGCACTGAGTTGCCATCACCAATGACAGCAATCGTGGAGATGCTGTCCTCTGGCATTCCTGCAGCATCTTCTGGCTCTAAAGAGGCAGAGAAATCTTGAGGTACCTCTGCAGATTCTTGTGGTGCGCTCCTGAAATGTTGCTGAATCCTTGGAGAGTGGCGTGGGGACAAGAAAACAGTTGAAGGGGTGCTCCCAATGGTTCCTTGTCGAGGAGAGTACGCCGAGGTAGCACTAGATGGGGAGGAAGGAGGACGCCCCCTGCGACGAGGGGATGGAGAGCTCATGAGGTTTTCAGTAGCACCAAGCGGAGAGATAGGGGAACTAAATGGAAGCGATCTGGGGTTAAGAGTCCCTCCTGAGCGCAGTTTCATTGGCACCGTGGGGGACTTTTGGGGAGGAGAAGCATTTCGACTGCGTACAGAAATCCTCTTTGACCGGCGTGTCTCATCAAGGTCACTGATGGTTAGGATATGATGGGACGTGGAAACTGCAGCCCCTATGAAGGGGAAAGCAGTTTTAAAATATGCATATAGAAAACTGCAGCTATAAAAAAACAAGATATTAAAAGCTATTTCATTAGCTGTTTGGAGAGAAAACATACCTGGGGATGGCAATGGTCTGAAAGTCCCTCCAACTGGTCTCCGGTTCTGAGGGTGCTTTGGAGTTTTAGATTCTGCTCCTGAGTCAAGTTTGGAGTTAGGGGATGGGGTGCTAGGCAGTAGATCAAGAGGACTAGTCTCAACATTAGTGGAGTCCATACCTAAAACAGAAATATTCCTAGTCATATTTATAAAATCAATGAACTGTGTTTACACTTTCATACATCACCATCTTGGACAACCGTAAGGTATTCCTTTTATAATAAAATGTTAACGATGAAAATAAAGAATCTTCATGATAAAATGAATTGAATGAATAGTATATCTTACCTTCATGAGGTTTTGGGCTGTGTGCAATGGTGCAGTTCTCTTCCTGATTTTGTGCTGAATTATGAGCTCTCATTGGCGATGACAGTTGCACATCAGTGACTTTACAAGTGTACCTGCATCGTTTTCTTGGGTCAACTGTGCTCCAATACCACCGAGTACATCTGAAAACAAATAAAAGGTTGTCAAAAATAAAGTTAATTGTTGTTGGTCTTAATTATTTATCTAAATGCTTTGTATGAAAGATCTTCATGTTCTACATTCATGTCACTGTCAACTGTAATGGATGTATCTGGGATTCAACATATAAGATAAACATTTTCAGTGTTGTGTCAGAACATCATTCCCCTAATAACAGCTTTCATGTTCTAAGTTCTACAAAAAGAAAAATGCCCCATGAGGAAAAAATTCCATAAAGATGTTGCTGCTGGGAGCATACAAACCCAATAAACACAGCCTATTAATACATTACATAATGACAAGAATTTCAACTGTCACTGTTCTTAAATAATTAAGAAAAAAGCATCTTATAAACATATGTAATATTTTGCACAATTTCTCTTAAATTACAATGAATTTTGTGTATCTTGTAAAAATATTTAAAGCAAATCTGCAGTTGTCTACATCATCATGCCTCACTACTACAAGCTTAAGAGTTACTTGTACTCACTGGTAACCCACAGGATACAGTTTCCCTGAAACTTCAGACAACTCACTCAGCACACCCAATCTGTTAATCTGTAGAGAGCCTGTAAAGAGAAAAACACATCTCTGTAGTTGTCACAAAGGAATGAGGGTGCATAAAGGAGTAAGTCTCCACATTGCAACATACTTTTTGATGCACTTAAGGTGTTAAACACACTTTAACGCTAACAAAATTTGTTAGCCAAGCCAATCTATCAGGGTACTGTGATGTGATCATGTTTACTAATAAAAACAAAGAAAGCAAATTGTTCATTATTTACACTGATACCCACTGGTTTACTTACCTATCATCACATTAACAGACTCCGGCTCCAAGCCAGTCAGAAACTTCCTGCGAAGACTTATACCCTCAAAATCTACATAGACCCGTCTGAGAACCTCAAATCCATTCATCATCTACGAAGAGGGAAAAGAAAATTGTGTTTTAGTAGTTCTTTTGAGAATATAACAACGTTAAGGTATGAAGGAGAAACAGTTCTGTGCTCAGTGCATTTCAATTCAATGAACCTTGTTGTTGATGAGGTCACGGTGTTTGTGACAGTAGACCTTCTTATCACTCTGAAAGACACAGTGGCTGGCACGAGCACACATGAAGTGGTAGTTACTCTGACAGGTTGAGAGACAGCAGCCCACTGTTGCTCCCACCTGGCTACACCGCTCACAGCGCTGTAGAGAAACGAGACAATTGTTTTAAGTGTGACCAACCAAAACTCATGCATTACTCTTTTAGAAGTTGCATTGAGAATGTAGACTTGGTTCTTTTCAGCACAGGTAAAATTAATCAGTAATTAATCTGTTAAGAACAAAACAAATTTGTATTTACCATGAACCGTCCCCTGGTTACAGCGCTGTGGACATGTAACAATGCTCCCTTGACCTCCTGCACCTCAGCTGACCAGATACAACAGTTTACATGAGCCCACTCATTTTGCCCCAAGTACAGCAGCCTGCCCGCCTCCTATGAATACAACGGAAGCAGCGATGAGACAGCTGAACACAGATGGTACAACAGCTAAAAAAGAGCAACATGAGAACTTACATTGGGTTTGGCATCACCATACTGCTGACAAAGAGAACACTGTCTTTCATCTACATCACGGCGGCTCACATTCAGAGGATCTGCAGTGCATTGGGACACAAACACAAAACACAAAGTCCTTTGAGCCATTACAGCAAAACTTCAGTGATATGCTCATTATTCAATATCATAATATACCCAACATAGAATCAATTCAGTTGAAACGAAGCTGATCGCTATCCATGCAATTAAGTAAGAAAAAGTAAAAGAAAAAAAAAAACAAAACAAAAGACTAAAGACTTGTTAAAGGATCTGGATATCGGGATATTTTTACCATGTGCTTTTAAATGAATGTTTTCTTGAGTCTCCTTTGTCCTGGTAATGGCACGGTCCTGTTCCTCCAGCCATTGGGCATAACTGTGCTCATCAGATGGTGGAATTACTGCCTCTGGGAGCATACCACTGCGGAACAAAAGGTCAATTTTATTCAAGATTTAATGCTGCTCAAGAGTACCAACACAGTGCAACATAAAATAAAGCTAAACATCTGCTTCCAATTCACTATCTGACTAACATCTAACAAATATTGTGCTAAAATTTGCGTGAAAGAAGTCTTCCCAATCCAGTCCTATACTAGTAACAACTCTTGATTTATTATCCACAGTACAGGAACACCAATATGCAGGCTTGCCTTTTACATTTGCTTTCACCTTTCATGTTTGCAGACATGCGAGTTAGAGAAAGTCATTTAAAACATTTTTCATAGGTAAATCGACTCTGTATTTGTAAGGCACTACGAAGCAGTGGTCTAGAGCCATCCAGGTGATCATTACGGCAGCATACACGGCAGCACTAAGACCCCAAAAAGCTCACTACAGCAACGGATGTATTGCCAATAGATAAACCAATAATCTCATACAGTTTAAATTATTTACTACCTTAGTTCCACCATGTAAAAATCAATAAAGCACTCTTGCTAGGAAATGGATTATCAATACAGCTGCTTGACTGCATTACTAAACCAGCTAATGATTAACTACTTACCTAATTTATTGACTCTTAGCATTTTTGCCACATACAGAGTACAAGAGTTTGTTGAAACAAGCCTACATTGGGACTTAACATTAGACACTACGCAGGGCAGTGGTTCCCAAGGCGCAGGATTAAGAAAGACTGCCCTACAGATGTCGCAAAAATAAGGTCTACAGGTCTATGAACAATCTGCAGTCCTGTGACCTTATGCAAGGCACATTTCTTTTTAGATCACACAAGGATCTCAAGACCAGCCTGAACCTGCCAGTTCAAATTCAGGCCAGGAATGCCACCACTGCTTCTGCTATCTTAATCATCAAAGACACACTTTCAGAATCACCTGATTGGCTCTTAGGCAGCATAGCTCCAACAAAAATTGACAGAAGTAAATACCTTGGGAATTCTTTCAAAAGAGGTTTCCATGTTACAGGGTCCTGACTGTTAAACCAACTGAAAGTCTGCTCCAGCAACTGCAAAGAAAATACACATGGAGAAGGAACAAGATGATATTTTCACTCATTGTGTACGAGAGAGAGAGAGAGAGAGAGAGAGAGAGAGAGAGAGAGAGAGAGAGAGAGAGAGAGCGCGAGAGAGAGAGCGAGAGAGAGAGAGCGAGAGAGAGAACTGTATTGCAGAATGACTAAAAAAAAAGCCTTTAACACAAAGCTATAGGCCTATATTAGGTCTTTTATTAGTGTGGATGCAGTGTAACTTGACAAATGTAACAGGACTTCAGAAAAATGTCATCAGAACTTCATGACAGTTTTCCTATACTTTATATTAACAATCTGTCTGAACATGAAATAATGCTGGGGTCATTTCATTACCAAATACAGTAGCAGTATTAGTCTCATCTCAAACTGTTTTCTTTCCCCAATAATCTGCACTCACTCACCACAAAGGCTTTGTTGGCTTTGAGAAGTTGTTGACAGTGGATAGTAGGGGTGCAACGATTATTCGACTTAGTCGACTAAAATCGATGACCAAATTAGTTGGCTACTAATTTAATAGTCGATTAGTTGGTGACATCATTACACGTATTTCTCACACTCACTAGGAACGTTCTGACATCACCACTCACTGGAGAGTTAGCTAACAAAAGCGCGATGACAGCCTCAAGAACAAAATCCTCAAAAGTGTGGGAGCATTTCACAGATTGTCAGTTCTGCTATTTGTAAAGCCGACCTTAGCTGGCATAGAAGCACATGCTGGAGCATCTGAGTAAGAAACACGAAGATTCATCTTGGTAAGATACGCCGCATCCCGAACCGGATACTACAACTCTAAATAGTGTGTAAAAATAGCGCATATACCATTAGAAGTGCACTCATTAGTGTAGTGTGTGAAGTACAGAAGTGTGTGGTTTGGGACACGGCGATAGTTGTGCTAGTGAGCTAGTTTGCTAATGTTAATGTTAAATTCTGTCCTACTTCATGTTATAAGCTGAGCTGTAACATTTTCTATTTCAAAATGTGCGTTCTCTAGAATCCTTAATGGAGTTGGAACAGAAAAGCAAGTAACAGAACAAAAAAGCAAGTAACTATTATTTACAACAACGCTGCTTACATTCCATATAACATTTACACTTTTAAACACTGCATTGATGTCTTAATGTCGAGGTCACCGGTGCGGTCAAATTCGGCGAACGTATGGCTCCACTCGCAAACAGTTTAAAGTAAAGCTGGTTCTCAGCGGACATACAAGGCAGCTGGATGAAGGGTTGCCGCTGAAATGAACTGTTTACACAAAATCATTAATTTAGCTGTTTATAGAAAAGTTTGCCACAAATGTTCGCCACTTTCCCATCCGCTCCATCAGAGCGCGTCTTCTCTGCAAGGGGGGAATATCCGCTCTCAGAGGAGAGCGAGACTCTCACAGGATCACGGAGAGACACTGACTTTCCTGTGATTGTAGAATTTAGTTGCGACAGAGTGTAGACAGACAGCAGAATGCACAGAGCACAGTTAATATTAAAAATTTAATTTTTTTTATTTACTTGATTAAAGGAAAACTGATTTAGTTTTGGCACAGAAGTCCAATAACAATTCACCATTCAGGTTTAGATCGGGCAGGCCGTTCTTCCCAGTCACGCCTCTCCAGGTCTCCCAGTCATTGCCAACATGAGCACTGAAGTCTCCCAGTAAGACTATGGAGTCTGTAGGCGGGACCCTTACCAGAACCCCGCCCACTTGCTCCAAGAAGGCAGAATACTCCGACCTGCTGTTTGGTGCATAAGCACACACAACAGTCAGAGTTCTCCTCTCTGCGATTTTAATTCGCATTGAGGCGACCCTCTCGTCCACCCCCAGGCCTGACTCCAGGAGTAGGTCCCAGTGACCCTCTCCCGGGCAGGGTACACAATTGTCTGTGTCCATTTTTCATAGAGGATTTTTGGATCGAGTTAGTCTGGGTCTTCACTCCAGACCCGTTCGCCCTGGGAGACCCTACCAGGAGCATACTGCTCCCGACGACTTAGCTCTGAAGATCCCTAGACCACACAAGCCCTTCTGCCTCAACAAGGCCCCGATCCAGGAAGGGCATAGATTCTCCATAACGAACACCAAGTTCGAACACAAGGATGTTCATAAGTGTACATGGTACCAGAGCTCCTTTGGTCATAGGTCAATGATCGACTTTGTTGTCGTTTCATCTGACTTGGGACCATATGTTCTGGCCACTCGGGTGAAGAGAGGTGCTGAGCTGTCAACTGATCACCATCTGGTGGTGAGTTGGATCAGATGGCAGGGAAGACTGATGGTCAGACCCGGTAGGCCCAAGCGAATAGTGAGGGTGTGCTGGGAACGACTGTCGGAGGCCCCTGTTCGGAAAGATTTTAACTCCCACCTCCGGGAGAGCTTTTCTCATGTCCCGGAGGAGGTAGGGGACATGGAGTCTGAATGGACCCTGTTCAAAACCTCCATTGTGGAAGCTGCCAGGCGTAGCTGTGGCCAAAAGCTTATTGGTGCCTGTCAGGGTGGTAACCCAAGAACCCCCTGGTGGACACCGGTGGTGAGGGAGGCCGTCAAGCTGAAGAAAGAGGCCTTTAGGGACTGGATGGCCCGAAGGACTCCCGACTCAGCAGATAGGTACCGACAGGCGAACAAGGTGGCAGCCGCAACGGTGGCAGAAGCAAAATCCAGGGCGTGGGAGGAGTTTGGAGAAGCCATGGAAAAAGACTTTCGGTCGGCCTCAAGGAGGTTCTGGACGACTGTCTGGTGACTCAGGAGCGGCTGGGGTGGCTGCGCCCAAGCTGTATTCGGCAGGGGTGGGGAAGCTCTGACTTCAAATGAGGATACTGTCGGTCGGTGGAAGGAGCACTTTGAGGAACTCCTTAATCCGGGAGATATGCCTCCCTGACGGGAGTCAGGGCCAGAGGCTTCTGGCATGTCAAGCTCCATTTCCCTGGTGGAGCTCACTGAGGTAGTTGGCAAGCTCTTCAGTGGCAAGGCACCGGGGGTGGATGAGATTCGTCCGGAGATGCTTAAGGCTCTGGGCGGCAGACCGGGGTGGTGGTCCCTATTTTTAAGAAAGGGGACCGGAGGGTGTGTGCCAACTATCGGGGTATCACACTGCTCAGCCTCCCTGGGAAAGTCTATGCCAAGGTACTAGAAAGGAGACTTCGACCGATAGTTGAACCTCGGACTGAGGAGGAACAATGCGGATTCCGTCCTGGCCGTGGAACAATGGACCAGCTTTTCACCCTCCCACGGATTGTTGATGGGGCATGGGAATTTGCCAACCCAGTCTACATGTGTTTTGTGGATTTGGAGAAGGCTTACGACCGTGGGCCAGGGTTGTTCCCTGTCTCCACTCCTGTTCGTGATATTCATGGACAGGGTGTCAAGGCGTAGCCGTGGTCAGGAGGGCATTATGTGTGGAGGCCGAAGGGTGGCATCTCTGCTATTTGCAGTCGATGTTGTTCTTTTGGCTGGATCACATGGATGCCTCCAGCGTGCACTGGAGCAGTTTGCAGCTGAGTGTGAAGCGGTTGGTATGCGGATCAGCACCTCCAAGTCTGAGTCCATGGTCTTAGCCCGGAAAAAGGATGGCATGCCCACTCCAGGTAGGGGGAAAGGACTTGCCCCGGGTGGAGGAGTTTAAGTATCTCAGGGTCTTGTTCACGAACGATGGGAAGAGGGATCGTGAGATCGACCGCAGGCTGGACAGGCGGCAGCAGTAATGCGGTCGCTGTACCGGACTGTAGTGGTGAAGAGGGAGCTGAGCCGTAAGGCGAAGCTCTCTGTTTACCCATCGGTCTACATCCCGACCCTCACCTATGGTCATGAGCTATGGGTAATGACCGAAAGAATGAGATCGCGAATACAAGTGGCGGAAATGAGCTTTCTTCGCCTAGGACGCGCTGGAGGGATTATACCTCTAGGTTGGCCTGGGAGCGGCTTGGGGTCCCCGAGAATGAGCTGGAGGAAGTTGCGGGGGACAGGGTCGTCTGGGATTCTCTGCTCTCCCAACTGCTACCGCGACCCTAGCTGGACTAAGCGGTTAACGACGATGATGATGATTTAGCTTTGTTATATTTTTTGCTGCTACTTTGCACATCCTTGGTTTTAAATTTTGACAGGAAAAATATATTGGAGTTTTATTTATCTTTTGTATTAGCAGGAAAGTTCATTAAAACAGTGAATTTTTTAATTTTCATTGTTAGCAAATGCATTAAACGAATTTTAAAAGCTGACGGCAACATAAGTGTTATTTTGAAAAATAGTGATTCATAATCCAAATAAGCAATTATTTGTTTCAGTAATCGATAGATTATCAAACTAGTCGTTTGTTGCAGCCCTAGTGAACAGTCATGTTATCCTGCTATGTTTTTACTAGCCAGCTGTTATCACTAACTGTTTAAGCTTCTAGTATATTTTTGTGCAGCTTGGCCAGAGTGGCATGCCAATCAGAGGATGTACAAAATACTAGGGATGTGCATGGGTACTCTGCTAACTGTTCAAGGTGCAGGCGATTATTCAAATGCATGATCTGCAATCAATGTTTGGGTACTTCATTTCATTACTGGAAAACAGAGAAAACAGTGTCACTCTACTAATGAACAGCTGAGAGTTTCACAGATTATCTTCTTGTGTGGCTTGTTAGTTCATTTAATTTTGTTAATGAAATGATGTGTTTCATTCATATTATGTCACTGCTTAGGATATGCAAATGTGGGTCATTTCAGGATGCAGGTTTCTTCACACTAAAGACACGTATAAGTCATTTTGCCATACAAATGACAACCTTCCAGCAGAAACATCAAATCTCAGCAAAAACCTGAAATTGATTTTGTATGAGGCTTGTATGTGAACACAGTCTAACGTGAGCAATTTGAAGTTAACACTTAAAACAGTGGCATGCTTTTTATAATGTGTGCAGAGAACTGAAATAAGAAATCAGAATGCACAAAACAATTTGGTTATTGTAAACACCTTAACACTTTCTAAGGATTCCTGAAAAGAACTGATGGAAGATACCCATCCCTAGTCACAACTAACAGGCAAACTGCTTGGATAAGTCAGTTGCACTGTGGCACTTAACAAAGCTGCACTACCAGGAGCTAGAAAAGGAATGATCATAGCATTTGTGTTCCCAAATTTCTTGACTTGAAATCTACCCTTAGATAGAAGATCTTGGCCTGGGCAGTGGGCCTCTGCTCCTCTGGAAGACGTTCTTCTTCCTGCAGCCTCTGCATTAACAACCTCACCACATCCTCATGAAACATTTTCTGTTCAGAAAGAACAGAGCAGAATTCAGACCAAAATATAATCAGCAGTGCCAGAAGATCCCATAAAATCAGTCGTGTGAAATATGTTGTGGTTGTTGGAACCACAGATAAACATATTAGACATGATGCTAAACTCTGTGGTGCAGCCAGGACTCAAGTGTAACACCAGCAATTTAGGCTAAATAAGATCCCCATAACATTACAATTGCAAGTTGAACAACGGAGAGTGTTCAGCTGATGGAAACTGCTACTTAAGACCTTTCATGCAGGAATGGATTTAGATGACCTGACTCACCAGTGTAGTGTAAAGACCTTCTTCAAGCTTCCTCTCCACAGCGCGAAGATCACAGACCGTCTTTCTGTCCTTTATGCTCTCAGCATCAGGAAAAGCTTCAGACTATTCAGATACAGACATAACAGTATACCAGTAAACAAACCCACTGCTATCACCAGCTATTATGGATTAATAAGTAGATAGGAGACCACCTCAAAGGGAAGGGAAAAAAATGGTGGCGAACTTTACCTGTGAGCACATACGGAGGTGGCAGGTGGTTGGAGCGTTCAGTAAGCCACTCATAACCTTCTCCAGACCGTCCCTTAGCACGTCCTGCACCACCTCCTGCCAGCCACTGGGGTGACTCTTACTGCATGCTGCACAAGAAAACACCAGACTCTTCCCTCGCAGCCTGCGTAGGAGCTCATACAAGTCATCTGAGGGGCAGGTGTGGGTAAAAGAAAGTGAGCAAGAGAGATCTGGGCAACAGAAAGATCAGAAACAAAATATAATTGTGGAAAATGCTGAAAGATGTTTAACACAAATGTCAGTATGTCACTACAGTATAACATGGGCTGGGTATCGCCAGCAACGTGATCTGATACGTATTATGATACAAGTATCATGATTTGAGAGACAGACAGGAAGAAGAATGTAACTTTCGCACTTTTAACACATACTCATGTGTGAGAGTCTGTGGCTGTAAAATTATCAGTAAACAACAAAATGTTCACTACATGTGTTGGATCACATGCTGCTCAGTCTAGTTTGCAACTTACCGCTCAACAAACACATCACCAAGATGCTAATGGTTAAGCACTAACCACATCAGCTACAAACTAACACCTCATCACATCCATGGACTAAAGCACTTCTGTGAAAGTGAAACTAACTCAAATACACAACTAAGAAGGATCATAACAGTTAAGAAAGGATACTCATATCATTCACGCACACAACGGCACACTAAACTATTCACTTCAGACTTGAAGACATTTTATGCAAATAACCACTGATCCCATTAAGAAACTTTGGAAACATTTTCTTTAATGCAGTTTTTCAGTGTGAAAGTTAGGACACAAGGCCTTGCTTTCTCCAGCCAAACCCAGGGTGCCAAAGAAGACATTGCTATTTCAGTTCACTTCGTTTTGTTACAGAGCATCATAACATATAACATGTAACATCCATGACATAGTAGCTATATGTAACAGCATAACTATTAGATAACTGTAATATCTGTCTAACATATTAAATAATGCAGCAAGACTTTTCTGGCCCAAACACTAACCTGTGAGACCCTCACACTTTGGATGTACCCAATGGGCACATCGAGCACACTGCATCATCTTGCTGTCAAACTCATGTTCTTGGTAGCATTTGAGACACACTGTGCAGAAGTTACCTGCAAAATCATGGAAAAAAAAAATTACAAAACATCAACATAATGCCACCAACAAAAGGGCATATTAACAGTAAGAACATACACAGACTAGCCCCTGCACAGCGTTAGAGGCGCCGCAACCATCATTTCTGGTGTGTGCACCCTCGCGCCACTTGTGCGTCAAGTGTAAACCTAGCTTGACTCACAGTGAAAAAGCTAGTCACACAGGTCTTGTGAGAGGCAGCAGCAGTGTGTTTTTCCTCTTATATTTGGCTTGTTAATTCATCTTCTCCAGTGTTCCAATGTCAAAACATCTACCTGAGGTAGCCAAAATTACTAAAAACATTAGTGAAGCTAGTCCAGGTGCAGATACATTTGTTTCAATCTTCGTGCTTTTGGCGATCTGGACTCTTTAGTGCTTCAAACGTGATGAGATGACTAACCGCATGGGGGGAAAGTCCAGGAAATTCCAAGATTTTTCCAGCACCTATTTTCCATGACTTTTCCAGGCCCGGAAAACCAAATTTCTATATTACATGACTTTTCCAGGATTTTCATGATTGTACAAACCCCGTAACTTACACTACTGTTTGTTCAAAATAAATGAAAAAAAAAAACATAGCCTTATGTATTTGGAGGTTTTTTGTTGCTTTTTTCCCCCACCGTTGTACTGAACTCATACTGAACCATGATATCCAAACCGCGGAGTAAATGGAACCATGACTTCTATGTACTGTTCACCCCTAACTGGGAGTGTATCTATTGCCTACCTCATACCTGGCTTAACTACCACACACTTAGCCTTCCCACTGAGAGTGAATAATATCCAGCAACTTAGTCACTTGTGGTAACTTTTGGTGAACATGCAATACAAAGTTTCACAAGCCCAGGTAAGCTAAACATGATTATGTGACTATCCTAATCCAAAGTAATTGTCTAAAAAAAATGTTATCGCCACCAAAAAGGAACTAATTGCAAAGCAGGAAAAATATTAGTTTGGAAGTTTTGATTATTACTGTAGCGAAAGGCAGTACCTTGGCTGTGGAGGTTGCTGCATTGTGGGCAGAGATTTAACTCATGATTCCAGGCCATGTCCCATGACTTCCCTGGGGTCACCCCACAGCTCTTACACCGAATACACATCATACACACCTACGCAGAAGAAAAATGCACACAACAATGCAATACATACTTCAATTTCACCAATATGTACATGTGGATGCACAAATTAGAAAGCAGCTCAAACTTACCCAAGGAGTGTTACACTTGGCTGGTTTGGGATATGTGGGTCCTAGACAGGAAGGGTGGTAGCAGTACAAGCACCTTTTACACTGCAAAACCGGCTACGAAAAACAGAAACAGGCATAATGACAGCAATCTGTTTTGCATTAAAGTTCTCTGCATTTGAAATAGTACACATTAGTTTGTACACTTTTTTGTAATACTATTAACTGTTCAGCATTTCTTAGTCACACTTCAACTGCTTCAAAATAAAACTATTATTATTATTATTGTTATTATCCTGCCTTCTGCCAAATGACAGCTGGGATAGGCTCCAGCACCCCACCGCAACCCAGAAGGATAAGCGGTTTAGATGATGTATGTATGTATGTATTATTGTTATTATTATTATTATTATTATTCTCCCATCCAGAAAAAGCAATAATTATTCCAAAGGCTATAGGCCTAATTCGCTAACCAGCATTCTATAACTTGGACACAAAGCAAGGTCCATAAACAAACATTTTGCTGAGCTTGGTGTGGAAGAACTTGACTAGCCTGCACTGAGCCCAGACCTCAGCAACACTCAAGGAACGCAGACGGTAAGCCAAATATACTGAAAAACATTCCCAAAATAGCAAAGAGCGGACCAAAATGGTTTTGGAATGAGCATTAGTATTTGAAATGCTATCAATTTTTTTGATATTGCCCAGGCCTACAATGCACGAAACAAGTAACCTATCCTACAACTACAGTTCACAATTAAGCTTATGCAAAGCTATCAGTTCATAAGTGAGGCTAAAATTTTAGTGTCATGGTCATTATAAAGAAATTAAGATACTTTCTCATACAGCACAGGAAACAAACATCGCTAGGCTCAATTGTCCTCTGTTTTGAAGTAAATGGAAGAAACCTTTGATAGGAACGAGAACCAACATAATGTGTTACAGAGATGTGAGCTTTTCCAACTGGTTGTCATCTAATCTTGTCACTGCTTATTTGCATGAAGCTGACTTGAGCCTTATCACACTACTCACACTGGCTATGATTGTTATGCTGCCAACTCTTGCCAGTGAATGACTTCCAGCTGCTGGAACACGACAGCCGCTTCTTGTAAATGTGTGGCCAGGATGAAAGGCTGCATAGGAGTGTATTGCAAGCAACGCAGTATGACACAGATGCAGTCTTGGAAATGACTCATGGGCAGCTTTTTTTTTAGTACTGGATAAACAGGTGTGCAACGAAGTAGCAAAGATGCTGATCACTGCCCCAAAGCCTAGTGACGAGTTACACGATTACATGCATTCTTTTTTTTTTTTTTTTAATGAGGTCTTACCCTAAGATGCAAGTACTAGCGGAACCATTAGAGTGTTTAGAGGCACACATGAAACAATCATTTTAAGAGAGCCTCTGAAAATTGGAAATGTTTTCTTAAGAGAAATGCTGGAATATTGGACTACTACAAGCTTTTCGTACTAGACATACTAAACCAAAGATGAAATTGGTTGCAATAAAATCAATTAAGCAGTAACGAAAGGTCATGCTGGTACCTTTCCATGTTTGCTCTTACGGTCGCAGACATGGCAGTATTTGCAGCGCCTACAACACCAGTTCTCTTTGTTGTCTTTCTGTGGACGGTCGTCCACTGGAAGACAGAAGCGGTGGAAGGGCTCACAGCACATCTGACAAAAAATCATCTGCAAAAGAAACAAATTCACATATATAATTCTTATATATTCTTAAATTCTTATATATAAAAATGACAGGGTGCTATCAATTATGTAATTATTCCATTCCTGGGCTGATTATTTACTCTTACCTCATGATGGCCTTTACTAGCACAGAGCAGACACACATACTCTGGTGCGACTGGAACTGATGTGAGAATACTCAAACCCCCCATCGCCCAAACATTCTGAATGTTGCAGTCCTCCTGAAAAAGAGGGAGAGAAAACATTTGTAAGCCTTTCAAAATATTTCTGGTATAAAAAAATATAAAAATGTACATGACTGCACTGTATAATAGTAATTTAGAGGTTTAGGAGGTTTTAAAAAGCTTGTTTAAGCCTTAGAAGCTGAGTTCTCTCCTTTGTTGATGAAGTGCCGACTTTTTGTCAGAGAAATATATTTCAACTGTTTCTGGACCCCAAAAGAGACTAGCCTATTTAGCGATAACAGCTGCAGTATCTGTGCCCACTCAGTCACGTTCTTAACAATGTGTCCTTGGCAATGAGCCTCCATTAAGGCATTCGTGTTTTGGAACAGCAAAGTATTCCATAACACTCTTGCCCAACAATACAAGTAAAACATGTTAAAACATCTGTTAAAAAATCAAGAACTGTTAATCCTGTACATTTTCTGCGTCTTCCCACGATAAACACAATGAATACTAGGGTTGGGCAGTAGGACAGTAATACAGTGCACTGCAGTATGTTAAAACAATAAAGGTATTTTAAAATTATGATGTGTAAAATTATATTTCCACATCTGAACGGATAAATAATCCCATTTATATTTTAGAGTGGAATTTAGTAAACATTAAAAGTCGTTCGCATTATCAGTTTTAGTGGGTTGTGGGTCAAGACTGTGGTGTTGTCCTATCATGGAGACTAAGATAATTGCTAACAGCTAACCCCAAGAGACTGGCTTTTACTTCCACTCTTTTCTCCCTCTTTAATTGATTATAATCTGATGTCTGCTCCTTTGACAACAACCTGGGCTAACTTACCCCAAGCAGAAATTCACTACACTGGAGATGAGGGAATCAGTGTGTTTTGTGTCTGTACACCGCGTTCTGTATTTATGTACATACCAGCACAACAGTTTTAACAAAACTAACACCTTAAAAAAAATAATAAATAAATAAATCAACCAGTATGTTGCTCACTACCAGCTACAGTGTTAACCGTGAAGTGAAAAATGAGTTGTTACATTAGTAACGTAACGAGAGCTCAAAAGGCTGAGCAGCAGTGGCAGAGGGTGGGGTGGATATTGTGAGACTGTGGACATTTGAATCACAGTTTTGGTCTTGGTTTTAGAATCATTACACCCCTACTTTCCTCTATGTGGGTGTCTCACTTTAGCATTAACCAGCCTGAGCTGTGGAGTGACAAGTTTTGCCTGCAAACTAAGCTATCTCCCAAACACCACTGAACAGGTTCGGTTTTTAATTACTATTTTTAATCATCTAAACTTGTGTCAGTGCTTTAGTTAGTGAGAATCCAAAATGTTCTGTGGTGAGCAGAGCTGTTAACACTTACCAGCTTCTCTCTCCTAGTTACTAGCACCGTTTGACGTTTATCAGTTCTTGGATAGATTTGACATTTACTAAATGATGGCTTGAAAATCATGCACTATGTTCACTTATTTGATGACCAGGTAAGCAAAGTACTCCTTGTTTCAATTTTGAAATTACATAAGATGAGACAGCAAAAAGCGTTATATAGTCTTATACATCACTTGCGTTACTTTCGACACCCTCCCCGGCCGCCTTCCACCATCCCCCACCTCCGCAACCAGGTTACTCTGCTCCTTTTTTTTTTTTTGTTAAAACAGTGAATAATTTTAAAATGTGCTGTCTGGATGTTAACAACACAGACACATTTAAAAAATGTAAAGAATATTTCATACCTTCTGTTAAACAAAAAAGGCCACGCACATAACTTCAAATTCAAATTGTAAACAGATCCTCTACCATTCATAAATGCAAATGTTGTGCTGAGCAAAAATTCAGATTTTAATATACAGTTATGTGCTTCTGTTACCATCAGTGCTAAACGCAATTTATAAAGGTTGAATCAAACGTTCTTGAGACCGCTTGGGTGCCAGCCTTGCTCTGACCTTGAAGTCTACCCGGATTTTGGGCGTTGACTCTTGTGCCTGTGGCTCCCGCTGGGTGAAGCCGTTGGCCAGCGCGGCCAGAACGCTAGGCGGCGTGTGCTCCGCTGAGCTCTGGGAACGAGTAAGACAGTGGAGGTCAGTAAGGGCTTGCTCCTGTGCTCCCTCCTTTTCCACCTGCTCCCCTCCATCTGCCTTCTCTTCCTGTGCTTTTTTGGCATCAGGCTGGCGTGACGCTGCCGTCACGGACAATTCGGCCGCTCGCACCACACTAAGCGGCAGCCTCTGCAGCCGCAGCTGGAGCTTCAGCTTGAGCTTTAGAGACGGGCTTCCAGTAGGAGTGGGGGGGTTGTTGGGTGTAGACGGTGATGGCTCTCTGGGCTTCAGGGCCTGTGAGGAAGGGCAATGCTGAAGCTGGGAGAGTAGGAGAACGAGGGGAAAATGGGGAGGAAGGGGGCGTTAAAGCAAGACTGCAAGATGACCACAGCAAAGGCGCAACGCAGAGCAGGCGAGCAGGTGAAGAGGAGGACGAGCATTTGCTTTAGAAGACAAGAGAGCATGAAGGAAGATTAGGTGGGAAAAGACAGAAGAAGAGAATTCCAACAAATTGCCCAACAGTTAATTAAAGATGCCAAGCTAACAGATTACATGCAGGGTTAGACCGCAGCTGTGGGGAAAAAGAGGAAAAATATTATTGCATTCTACAAAGAACCGAAGCCGAAAGAGCCCACAGGCCTACAGTTTTAAGAAGCACCTGGTGAACAAACCTGAACAGGCACCCTGTTAAAGAGCTTCAGACACTCTTCCACAATCAGAACCACATCTAATGTTTTAGTCCATAGCACTAATCAGCACAAACTCATCAAGTAACCCCTAACAGAAACTTTTGTTATGCTAGGCTTCTAATTAAATAAATCATTAGATGAATGGTAATTTGTTTACTATACAATTGTTTTGAATGTGGCAGACACCTTGATATGTTCAGATTACATGTAACTAGAGTGTGGGAGCGCAGTGGGAAAGGAAAGACACTCTGCGTGTCTAAGAAACTGGAGCTTGTTTGACTAAATTGCATTACCACAATAACATACCATATACAATTAAAACCATGGTATACAGAATTAGCGAATACCAGCATGTTCTATTCCAAAGTAACGTACTTAATGCCTTGTTAACCTGTTATGATAAACATAGGCACTATGTAAACTGTTAAAGTCTATAAACTTCAGCAAGAGTGTTCCTAATTGAATTGCTCTGGACCTCAATGCAAACCTGAAACATTCAAATGTGATATGAATGAATGGTTCCAACTGTGGAAAAGATGATAAAGGAGTTAGTGAGGAAAGCCCAAAGATGCTCTCATGTATCCAGAGACACTGGACAGTATTTCAGTTTTATATTAGTATTATATGGTTATAATCATTAACATTCTAAAGAAAAGCATTAGAATCGAGTACCACTGATAAAAAGAAAATAAAATATCAGTAATCTATTTCGTCATATGCAAACTTATCTGAAAAATATACATTTAAAAAAATCATTCCTTTTTTTCCTGAATGTAAATTCCCAGAAAATACAGAATTTCCACTTCTTCACACTTAACACATTGCAAAATATTTTTCTGGTATTATGGTGAGGAGATAAAGGCAAGAAAAAAATTCAGGGTAAGACTGTCCAGCATTGTTTCAAGAATGCACACTATTTGGCAGCATGCAACAGCAGACAGAAAAAGAGCCCATCACCTTTAAAGCACACTTTCCAAAATTAAGGCCACAGACTAAGGCCCAATCCCATTTCACTCCTTGCCCCTTCCACTTCACCCATAGCCCTCTGTTTTGCACGTTCACGTCTAGGGTTAGGGTGTTACAGGGGTTAGGGTGACCCTCAAATATAAGGGGTAGGGGTTTAAAAAAAAAAGAAAAAAAAAGAAATGGGATTGGACCTAAAATAGAGCTATTCAAGTCACAGCCCTTGAGGACAGATTTGCTACATTCCAACAGTGCAAGATGTTCTAAAATGACACTGATAAAATTATTAGCAGACTAGTAAAAATTATTAGATTGTTAAAATTTCTGGAAGATAAGTAAGCAGCTTTAAAAAAAATCAGTTCCAGTGTCGAAGTACCTTATCGATTCGCCGGCGGCCCCAAAGCCCTCGCGGCAGGCCAGGCTTCCGTGGCTTCCCCACCTCATATCGTGCATTAGGAGGCGTAGCAGTATCTGTAAGAAAGAGAAGGGACAAGATCCTCAGATAACACCATTCAGGGTCCAACATAAAGAAAATTTACTGTTCTAAAAATAGTATATACTGCTCCAAACTATATCTTTGCTTTTTTCCCCCCAAACTTTATATCATTAAGACACACATACACATTTCTTTAAATCAAGCTATTTATTCTGAAGATCTTATTATTATTATTATTATTATTATTATTACTACTACTACTACTACTACTACTACTATTATGTCACTTTGATACAATGTAAAATGCAGCTGGTGTTCTCAAATCAAGTTTAAAAAAAAAAAAGAAAGAAAAAAGAAAAATACCACGCTCTGTTCCATCAGTGACAAAATGCTTGCATTATTATAACAAAAATACATGCAAATACTATTTTATTATTTACATTTACAAAAGAACTGCAGTTATTTTTACTATTATTTTTGTGTGCGTGTCAAGAAAGAGAGGGAGGGAAGGTATGGGATGACATGGATGTGTGTCTTATTACTATTGCTATTATTATTATTATTATTATTATTATTATTACTACTATCATCATCATCCTCCTCCTTCTTCTTAGTGGTGGTAGTAGTAGTAATGGTAATTACATCTACTGTTGTATACATTCGTCATATATAAGTGTCTAGTTTCGCTGAGGGATTTTTCCCATTAACCTGCACACTGTTTTCTATAATAGTGTGTTCTGCTTTGGGCTGCCATTTTAGAGTCAGTTCATCTGTGGAATACTCCCGAACCACACCCCGTGCCACAACAATTACCGAACAAACAACGCAACTGGCTTGATTTAACTCAACTGGATTAAACTATTTTTCCTGTGAGGAAGGCGGTGTTTTCATATGAAAGTGAAAGAACACAATAACAGGTACATTATTCACCAAAAACATCAAATAGTCAACAAAGATGGCTATGCAACAGGTTTTCAACACTGTCCCAACTTTTAACTTGTCATGTGAATTCAGCCAATCATCAATGCTGAACCCTGCCATCTATCACAGTAACTTTCCACCTAGAATCAACTGTTTAGTACATTTTTAGAAAACAAGACGTTACTGGCAAGCTTGAGAGTAGGCAAACATCCTGCAACATCCTCCAACGTGCAAGACCAGTATCTCCACTACTACAGAAGGAAGAAGGTGGGCCGGCCAGTCATCAGTTGGAGCCGATCACTGTAGACCAGAAGCAGCTAAAAAACTCCTGCGTTAATCCTTTTATATCAGCCATGTACGGCAGTGGTCACACATGCACAAAGTGCAATTATACTTCACTTCTATTTTCTGTCAGCTGCCCAAAGCAGCATGCTAGTGGTAACTATCAAGAAGCAATACAAAAATTCAACATTCATGGTATACTGTGCAGTCTAGGCCCAGCAAACAGCACATGGGCTTCCCTTGTGAAGCAGCAAAAACAAGATACAGCAAAAACAATATGCAGCCTATACAAGGTGCAAATTGTTGGTGAAAATCTTTCATAAGAGCAAAAACAAAAAGTATGGCAATGTTTTATAAATAGATACACAGATGAGACAAAGAATACATTGCAGCAAACACATGGAAAGCATATATATGACAACTGCTCATGGTAGCAGCAGGAACAATCCAAAAATTGTCCAATCGCTACTACACTGCACTACGCACTATTATATTATGCATGTTCCAAACAATGGCTCCTGGAATCAAGAACTGTTGGTGAAGGTGAGCAAAAAGCTCAGGATTAATTACCACACAATACCAAAGAGGCATAAAAAAACCTGACCTCCAAATAAGGTAAAATTGTTCAAATAAAAAGACCGCCTTCTAGGAAATCCTATGAAGAATATTATCGTTTGATTTATAAAGTTAATGTGAAGAAGGAAAACAGACTGAGGAGGGTTTCCTTACAATCTGACATGACCGATGCATCCAGCCATAAGTGTTTATTCTAACTTGTGAGCTTGGTTTACAGTAATAGAACACTTTATAATTCATACCAATAGCTTGATCAGTTGGTGCACTACTGCTCTGTTCCTTTCCTGTGTCTCCGCTGGCTGGCTCCGTGTCAGTGGAGTCGGACTCTAACAAGCTGCTGTAGCATCGTGGAGTGACCCGTCGCCTAGGCTGCCTCCTAGTGGGGCTGAGTGTACTAGTGGGGTCCGCTTGGCTAGACACCTCCTCTCTTGCACCACTTTGCTCGCCCTCTTCCTCTCCGCTGCTGCATGGATAAGTGGCCGCGGAAATCTGGCGTCGCTTCATCTGAACTGCGGAAAAGAGACTTGGTCAAATAAGAGGTCAAATGGGATGGGAGAGATTAAATGAAATGAATGTGTCGTTAAAACGCTTTACAGGTTATGAAAATGCATAAAAAACAAAATGAATAAAACCCTGCTCCACAAACTCAGAACAAACATTGCCAGCTTTAATAAAAAATAAATACCTTTAACAATTGGGGCTTTTTCCCAAAAAATTAGGAGAGGACCAAAAATTATTTAATGAGCTTTACCTCCAGAATGTTTACAAAATGACTGTGTTACAAGTTGAGTCAATGGGGCCTGTCAACAATATTCAGTATCATTTACAGGGCCATCCTGGTATTACAGTAATATGCAGTTACTGTGAATGCTTGTCCTACTAATATTTAAAAAATGCTTTATGAGATATGTCTTTCTTTACAATTGATCAAACTTGTGTATTTATCACTTATTACATACAATGGATTGTTTGATACCAAGTGGCAGTGAGCAGAGGGGAGTTAGCAGCCTAACTGCTGAAATCTGCTATTTTATCATCACTATGCACTTATTTGTAGCTTAATTCTGAGCAATAAAATGTTAATAAACTAAATAGTGTCATTTTAAACACATAAGGCTGTGCTATACGCTGCTTCCAGTTGATGGCTAGCATAAAAATGAAGAACACAACAACATTTTTTTATTGGGGCAGCAAACACAGATAAAAAAAAATGCACTGAAGAATGAAAAAAGATACCAAGATAATAAGCATCATTCAATTGATAGCATGACATGAAAATAAAATGATCAAAAACAAAAGTGCCATTTGAATAACTGGTACTTTTTCCTGTTTTATGAAAGCATGCACGCTTCAGTGCATCAGTGCACACTGAGAGGAAACAATGCAAGACACCAGAAGTGCACACAGGCAGCGTAAAAACAGCGATTTATGGTTAGCCTTGTCCAAATTATTTTGCTACTGCTCTTGACTGCTTGCTCGCATGATCTTGCTGCATTTTTCCACAGAATAAACGGCAAGAGCAAGTCGTCCAGTTGAAGCAGAAAAGTGCACCGGGTGTTAAGACAAACATAGCTGAGTTTAATATATATATATATATATATAAAGTTTTTATTCTCATAGAATGTTTGAATATTCTAAATATTTGTTACAATATTCAAAAACAAAAATGCACCAAATCCATTTTGAGTCGACTGCGGGGAGAAGCTAGCAAATGAGGCCAAGGAGCCATGCAATTACTTCGCCATCTGGAGGCAAAATATTCCTAGACAACAGCAAGATACAGCCTAATCACCACCCCCTCAAGCTCCCCTCCTATGTCCATCAAAACCATTACAGGCTTGGTCTGCACTGTTTAAAAACAAGACAGTGGTCTTTAATAAGTTTCTCACTGCTCAAGCAATCATCTGGGTTGTGCTTTGCATGAAAAGTGATGGGAACGACCTTAATCACCTGGTTTAAAAATGTCAAACTAAACTTTAAGATGATACATATTTACTAGGGGTGCGGGAAAAAATAGATTCTTAGATGCATCGCGATGCGGAGTGAACGATTCTGAATCGATTCATAAATGTCAAAAACCAATTTTCTAAATATTTAATTTATAACGTAACGTTGACGGAACGCAAAAGGTGGAACTTGGAAGTGCGGAAGTGCAGCACCCGGACAGTCTGTGGCAGCACATGACAAAAACACAAGTGGAAGAGCGAAAAATCCGACCAGCTCCCTCTGCATTAAAAGCCAGGTTAGATCAGGAGTCACAACACAAATGCTAAGAAGAGACATTTTGTCCTTTCAACAAAAATCAAACCATCTTGGGAGCTGCAACATTTAATGTCCAGTATGTCTCAGTATGTGTTAATGTCCTAGTAAAGACTAAACAATATAAACGAAAACACGGACTTTAGCTATAGCCGCTTTCCTCCCATCTCCGCCAGAAAACTTTTCCTCAAAAGTAGATCAGTTAAATGTCTCTCATCGTTCGACTGTTTTACGAGGCTGAAGTCGCTTCTCATTCTCCAGCTTCTTGTTCGAATTTACCCGTTCCACCTTAAATTCTAACTGAGGCACCGACTGTAAATGCGGCACCATTTAAGGTGGAACGGGAGAATTCGAAAGAGAAGCTGACTTCAGCTTTGCCACTTTTTAGTGTTTGACAGTCTCTCATTGCAGATTTAACGTACCAGGAAACCAACTGCAGTGCTTATAAATGCGAATAACGCATCGCTGCTATGTGACCTGCAGTCTGCATGCCGTGCTCTCAGTCGTGGCGAAACAGGGCTTTTGTGCTATGTTGCACATATCCCGTCTGAAAGATACTTTACTGACACAGCGATCCCCCCCCGTCTCTACAACGAGACCAAAACCGACGTTATAAAATCACTAAAGAAAACGGGTAGAATAGCTGTAACGTGTGCTGCGTGGACATCCACTTCCACTGAATCTTATTTCACCGTAACTGCGCATTCCATCATAGATGAGTGGCAGCAGCGTCTCGTGCTCCAAACAAGAGCACTGAATGAGAGCCTTGTAGTTGACTTGCCACATCACTTCCATTTGATTTATTAATAAAAGATATTGGAAGTAAATTCATTATGGATCATTACAAATACTTTGCTTTAAAAGTACCAAGTCACTTTAAATAACAATAACAGAGTCACTTAGTCACTTTAAAATGTATATTGCCTCTATATTCTGTGTATATTTAATATATTTCAGTTGGTTTTTCTTGTATTTTTATTTACTTTCTGTAGAGTGATTACTTGAGCCTCACCACAAGCATTTCAATGCATAAATGTCCTGACATGTTGTGCAAATGACAAATAAACTTGAAACTTGAACTCGAAACTTGAGCTCACACAGTGAGAAAATATAAATGCTATATAGAAAAAAAAGATGTATCGATAATCGTTTTATAATCACATCGCAGCCCTCTGAATCGTAATCGAACCGAAAGGTGCCTAGAGATTCCCACCCCTAATATTTACTGTCAGGCATACTTTTATATTTTATAAAAGCCCAAGCTTGTGTCATTTCTGTGACCCTATATGTATAAATTAGTCTAAGTGGGTGAGAATTTCTTTAAAGGGACTGTCTTTCAGCATGCTTATGAACAGGGTTTGAACAGTGATGTTCAAACTTTTGCATATCACTGTAGATCTTAGTCAAACACAACTTAAGTGGGTGGGAATTTCCTTAAAGGGACTATCTTCCAGCATGCTTATGAACTAAGAAACAACTGTAATAAATTTCCCTGCATATTTACAGTTACTATCGGGTTAAAAATCATAATACTAATTTAATGAATTGAGGTTTAGTGAGTCTCAGGGTGATCAGAACCCCTCCTGGCATTCACTGATCTGATTCAATAATGTGCCAGAGCGGAAGACAGAAAGGATAGAAATGATACAAATACTAATTTGGCTCAAGCAATTTGAACTCAACCAATCAGGTCTTTTGTTGATTTTCTAAGTAAAACTCATTTTCACTTATAAAAATTAACAAACATCATTTGACCAATGTTCCAACTTTTGCATATGACTGTAGATCCAGAAACACACTTTTGTCCCTCCAGATTTATTTTATATAATAGGCACTTAGAGGGAGATAGCCATACCTTTCAGTCGCTTCATTTTGTTCTCTTCAATTCTTGCACACTTCTTATAGCTGAAGAGGGGAGAGAGGAAAAAAAATAAATAACTGTGGGTTATTAAACGTTCTGGGTATAACTTTAGTAATCTGCTCTTATATTCCACACAATATTTCATTTGGCAACAACTTGCAATCTGAAAAATAATTTTCTAAGCCGCTTATCCTTCTGGGCCACATGAGTGCTTGGAGCCTATCCCAGCAGACACTGAGCGAAAACAAAAATAAATAAATAAAAAATAAAATCAAATAAGTTTTTGAAGTAGAATCTTCTTCACCAACAAAACAAAATGAGTTAAATTGTGATGGAAACTAGTAAACAATGTTAAGCCAAACAGCAACAAGAATCTGTTCAACATTAAATATTTCTCTGCAGATTTGATCAATTTTTCTGAGAAGTGTTTTTTTGCACACATCCCATACAGTTTTATTTCCTGCAGAATTATTTGAATAACTTTTTGCAATGTTGACAGCCACTATACTAGTGGTCCTCCACTTACAGACCCTATACATAACCACTGCTGCATGCCGGTTCAGAGCAATGCATAAGAGCATTTCAAAATCTCTCTTCCACTTACATGCAGCTCTGGCGCTTCTTATTGGGTCCTCCATACTTCGGTTTATCTAGACAGAAGACACATCGCCCACAGTCCTCTTCCCGACAGCAACCCTTACAGCGAAAACAGCGCTTCTGCCGCAAACCAAAAGTCCTTCTACTGGACACTGGCTTTTGCTCAGCAGAACCAGTGCTCTCAGGGTCTGAGCAAGAGCCTAGATCTTAAGTGAGAAGAGAGCAAAACTTATTTAAATTCTTGAACAAACCTTTCAAACAGCCTGTTAATATAAATGATATAAGTACAGATTAGGGATGCACCAGTCGTGACCTTTGAAAACTAGAAACAAATATATAATTAACCTTTGTTTAGTCCCTAACTGAGGGCCAGAAGAATGATTAAGGTCTATTTAAGTATATGGGGTAAAAGCTATTTGGTGTTTCTGAAATGAAGTAAAATAAGTTTGGTCTTTTGACTAAAAATAACATTCTGAAATTAGTGTACCTTCTGTGTTGGGTGAAGGAGCAATGCCCTCTCTCTCATGCAGAGGCAGGGCACTGAGTCTGGGGATGTCATCTGGCACCATGGCTCGAGGCTGCCCCAGTGCCACTGCTGCTGCCCGGCACACGTGCTTTATCCGTGGACCTCCTATTGGATGGCCCTACACTCACAGAGGGTCAACAAGAGAACACAGATCTGTGAGGACAATGTTTCCATACATGCAGTCAAAACTACAGCAACAAATGCCCTTTTATTTATACATCCATGACTTTTCTGAAATAATAGTTTGATGCAGTATGTAAACAGTGTTTAAAACCATTTTAAAACATTGCATTTACTCCCCAGTCCACTCTAGGGATGCATCAATACTGATACTGGTATCCAACCGATACTGTGCTTATTTACTCATAAAACAAATGCAATGTTACAACCAACCAATACCATCTGAAACCATGTGACATAAGCCTAGCGTAGACTGCAGCACTAATGAACAAACGACTCAAGCTGGTAATGAACAAGTATCGGCTCTCACAGCGAAGTGTTTCTGATGCCGTGGCAATCGGACGCAGTGTCACTGGTCACTTTAAACATTCTGCCATGGCATATTCCAGCCAGACAAACACTGTGATTTTAGCCCACACAAATACAACCACAACCACTTCCCCTACATGGGTGAACACACAAGCTTTAAAACACAAATAAATAAATAAATACATACATACAGGTTGAACGGGTTGGTGACCACTGCTCTAGAAAGACTGTATTGTCCTACCCATGTACATCCCCCCGCTTGGTGCTTGGTTTTAGTTTCAGTGGCCCTTTAAAATACTTTAAGAATACTTGATGTGACATGGTTAAAGACTAACCTTATTTTTGATCAGAATAATTTACTTTTGTGAGATCATGAATGCCTTGGTCATCCAAAAACCCACAGACACTTAAAGATGGTAAGGATGCTCACAGCACACAGTAACACATTTACTAATTGGAATACTAATTTTGACGACTACAATGTGTAAATAAGCCTCTACCCAAAGACCAATATCATGATAATTAAGAAACAATATATTGTGCAGCCCTACTCATGAGAATGTATAAGATGTCCAGACACTTAGATATTTAGGAACTTGTCAAACCCTTAACACAAAGTTAGTACCAATTCACATAGGAAACACAAGTGAAAGAAAAAGTGAGGAAAAAAATCTCAGTATTTTTCAGACACACAGACTACCTGAGGAGCCGCTTGTGTATTTCCTCTGCCCACTCCTCTTCTCCTCCTCCTCCGAATGCCCCTAATAGCACCATCTCCACTTCTAACTGCACCAGACAGCAGCTGTAAGAGACAGAATGTAGCATAAATCAATCAAATCTACTTTAAGTTAACATTATTTTCAGCAGCTGTGCTCCTCTCTTCTTCACAGGTTTTAATCCAAGAACCAATTTGACAAGGCCAACATCAACCAGTACCAACAATCCCCCAAAAATTAACAGATGATTCTAAATATCTAAAGACTTAAAAAGCAAAAGACAATACTTAAAGCATAGCACCTGTCAGAGATAATGACGGTGAAGCATCATTTATAAACCCTTACCTGAGCTGACTTCAGCTGTTTCTGCTGGTCAATCTTAATCAGCTGGACCTTGGCCCTCTTCAGCAAGTGGAGCATCCTCTTGTTGGCACCGGAGAGGTTGAGTCTTTGGATAGGACTGACCTGCTCCGCCGAAATCTGAGAACAACTTTCATCTTGCCTTTGTACATCTGTGCCTTCCAAGCTGGTTCCCTCTGCTAGAAGAAAATGATCACACATTGTTGGAAAGAAGTGCTGCTCAATGCTATTTTCTCAAGTGTGAATAGTACGGATCTATCCAGTCTGAAGGATTGGGATGACAGTCAATCCAGGCATACTTTAACAGGCTGGCTATTTATTACAGTCATATGCAAACACCCCCTGACAAAAAAGGGCTTGCAAGTTTCAGTAAGAAAGTTCCCCTACAGCAAACAAACTTAAATATGGCATTTTTCTCCAAATGCCTGTTTATGTGGTAAATGCAACATATTTTGGGGGGTGGTCTGTGTAAAAACTTATGGCACAATTTATACTTAATGTTTTTCCCCCAATATGTTACATTCAACAAATAAATAGCAATTGTGCACCAAAATGTGCAAAAGCAAGTTTCCTGTAGAAGATGTATACTTATTTTCACTAAAAAAATGTAAATGGACAAGATGTGTAGCAAACTTTTGCATAAGACTGTGTATAAATTCTGATTCCACTCCAACCCTTTGTTACTCAGGCACCCCGTTTATGCAACATCTATCAAAAACATATTCACTGTCAAACTATGCACATACTAAAAAGAACTTTACTGTAGCATTTTAAAGCAACTGGCAACCTAGCATATATTAATTTTATTAGTTTTTGTCCTTTCATTGATGCATATTATTGAAAAAAAAAACGAACTTTCTATCAGCAGATACTCATTATTAAAGGTCTCAGGACAGCATTGGGAGACTGAATTTGCTTCAATGTGCAAGATCTGAAAACCTCAAGCAGTGTGAACATTTCATGTTTCATGTGACTCTTAACAATGAATTAATATACAATGTTGTCAAGGATCCTCAAGTTAAGTGATTTGGTGACTTCAGGATGAAGTCAACATAATCCTTACCGACTGCTTTGGTTGCATCTTCACCTCCTTCAACAGTGGAAACTGCTGACTGACCAGCCGTATCATCAACATGTACAGCTAGTTTACGCACAACTCCTGGAGAGTTTACCTCCTCTATCTTTAGATCAGAGTTCCTCTGTCTTCTTACACCTCTGGAACCTGAGGATTCCTCTGTACCCTGGAGCTCGCCCTCTAGCTTTACACCATCATCTTTGTAACTGGCCATTCGCTTCTGCCTTCGCTGAGCCAAGCTCGCTGTGAGCTTCTTCAGCCTCTCATAAATTTTAAGGTGAGTGGAATCATAAGCAACTCTCCCAACCTTCTTCTGAGGGCCATCGGACGACCCTGAGAAGCCTCTGGGCTTCCCTCCCTGAGACTTCGCCTTTCCAACAAAATTTCCATCGCCATCACTGATGTTATGCAGTTTTGCCCTCTTTCGCCTTCTTTTAAACTCCTGTGTTTGTTGGATATCAGCTTGCTCCAATTCAATGCCAGACTCATTCGGTAGGATTTCAGTTTGAGCAGGCTTCTTCACAGGCAGTCCAGACATGCCCTCATCATCCATGAACCTCTTGGGTACCTTGATCACCCTGGATGGCCGAGCACTCACCACACCACCTTCAGCGAATCCTTGTTGACTTGCTGCTCCTGTGTCCTGTGCCTGTCCTGGCAGCTCCTGCTGTTGATCTTCTCTCACGGGCGAGTCCACTACTTCATAGGCGTAACAGACAAGACGTCTTCTTTTCCTGGGGATTTTACCCTCCCCTTGCAACTGAGACTCGCGCATTTTCCGCATCAACTCTTGCTCTGGCGTCCTTCTATATCCAAATAAAGACTTCCGCCGTTTTACAACAGGGGGAGATTTTTTAGGAGAACGTGAAGAATTGTCCCTCAATAACGCACCCGCACTCCCATCAGGAGAAACTGCATCCTCCTGTCCTGCCTCAGTCCTGACTTCTAGAGAAGCTCTCATAGCCTTGGGGATCCTTCTCCGCTTCCCAGTAGTTCTGGGAGATGTAGAATCATCAGTAGTGAGCACATCCTTGGTTTTTCCATGCTCAGACTGGTCTAGATCAGCAGTCTTAACAAATCCTCTAGAAGGGTTTTGGTCCAAATTGTCAGCCAGTCTTTTTTTGGAAGTTCTTCTTTTCCCCTTAACCAGTGTCAAAGTCCATACCAATTTCTTCTGCCTTGTTCTATTTTCTAAAATGATGGTATCATCTTGCTTTCTTCCCTTTCTTTCAACCTCTGCAGCTGCCACTTTAACTTCATTGCCCGGTTTATCCAACGCTTCATCATCTACACCTCCATTTTCTTGTTCATGTGAGAACTTAATTCCTTTCTGAGTAATTTTCTCTCGAACCCCACGCAAAGAAGCCTTTTTCACTTGTTGTCTACCTGATGCATTTTTCTTGGTCACATTTTTGCTAGCTAATTTAACAACAAATTTGGGCCTTTCAATTTTGTGGTCAGCTTTGAGAACATTTACACGTTTCTTCTCAGGCTGCTCTGTTTCTGCAGTGGTCCTCAAGAGTTTTTTTCCAGTAGTGGCTTTTTTGTCATCTGCAGATAAGTCAGGAGCCAGAGGAGGGTTCTCAATTGATGGTGCTGAAGAGGATTTAAGAATACTGCCTATCACAGAGCAAAGAGAGAAAGAAAATCAGTACACATTTTAAATGCAACTGATATTAAATACTTGGAGAAGTTTTTGAAACCATATCCACTGCAGTAAGACCTCAGACTGCAATTAACATTTATCATGACACTATACATCAAACATAAGACCATACAGACAAAGCCCCTTTACAATGAATGATGTAAAGCATGATTCTATAAATTAATGGATAACACATTATGAAAATGAAGCAAATTAAAATGTCATTACTCTGTAACATACCTTGTCCAGAGCACAAGGACCAACGACCATCTGCTTGAAAGCCTGTGAAATCTCCCTCCTGTAACACACAAGAGACAGAAGCTGTTAAGTGGTGGTTGCATACATGTTTGACCTATGCCTTCGGTTAAAAGGTTCATTTAATTTCTGATAAATTGACATTTGAATAGGTGGGCTTTTCATTCAACGTGAGGACTGTTTTTGAACTGCACACATATTTAACTCTGGGGTTTCTGAACTTTACTCCAATTCTCAACTCCTCTTAACTGGAACTAATAGCGCCAGAACCACTGATAAAGGGATACAGCGGAGATTAAAGCATCCTAGTTTGTGCAGTGATATGATGAAAAACCATGCTTTTCAACTCTCTCAGTCAGTGACCAAGAGTTAACAAAAGAACTGACTCGTCCAACATTTGTGGCTTTATAACTGGAGAATTAAAACAGCACAAATGTTTCTTTTAACAGCACAAACCAGCACAAAAGAATGAGACCCTGTTAGTGCGATTTGGACGTTGATGGGGGGGCTAAGTGACGTCACTTATAAAAAAATATTTTTAGCCTATAACTTGATAATTAAAACAGCACAAACACTTCTTTTAACGGCACGAACCAGCACAAACGTTGCACAAACGAATGAGACCCTTTTGGTGTGATTTGGACATTGATGGGGTGCTGAGTGACGTCACAGGCGATAAAATGTAATGTTTAATTTCTTAAAAACGATGCCAGCACAAACGATGATTTCTACGGCACAAACCAGCACAAACATAGCACAAACGAATAGTAGCATTTTTATTCCATTTCTGACCACATGGGGGGCCAGCTTCATGGAGGTCATTCCTAGCTGTTGATAGCCAGTAGCTAACAACTCACAAAACACAACTAAACAAACTTTAGGCACCACTGCCCTCTAAAGGGTTTATTGCACCCGTCAGAACTTTTGTTGTCGTAAGACCCATTATGTATCTCAATTAATGCTGTATCTGCTTTTCAACCGAACAAAGAGTTAGAAGCATCGTCTCAATCAGAAAAATGAAAGCCTAAAAATTTCACGATTTAAGACAAGTACAATGCTACCTGGTGTTAATAAGCTTCTATTATTTCTGAACTATATTAGCCTCATAAAAAACTACAACCTAAAAGCAGCAAACTTAAGACAGCAAACATGTTTTGGCCACATTTGCGGATAGTGCAAATTATGAATCACTTTAAATTCTATGAAATTAAAACACATTTTTTTGACAAAATGCAAAATGTTGAGATTGCAGACTTTATTTTCTAAACATGGAAATGTATCATATGATATTAAAACCAATTTTCCTCAGCATTTCAGAGAGAGGAGGCAAACCCTTTACCACTTTTTTCCATTTCATGAAGTTCAATCCTACAAAGACCACAACTAAAACACTATTTGGATGGAATTAGTTTTATATGACAGAACAGTAATTTTTATGGATGTTTCTCACTGATTTCTAGTCCCATCCAAATCCATCATGTTAGTCATTTTTATGGACTGTGCGCTTCTAAAGACAGTAAAGATTCAGATGGCTTTTACCTTCTATAAAGTGAGCCACAGAAACAACCCCAGGTTATATGAATCCCGGGTAAAATCGACCTGTCAGTAAAAATGCTATCATATCCTGTGGAAAAATGGTTTAAGCATGAAGGCACTTGTTTATTCATTATCACTTTGACTAAAATCAAGCCGATATGTACTGGCCTACCTCAAGTGTACAACTCAGAACATTAAAACGTTAAAAATAAGCAAAAAAATATTAATAATAATGTTAAAAAATAAAGTTATAAAAATAATAAAATAATATTTTTCCAAAGCTAATGACACTGTAGTCACTTAAAATAGCAAAACAGATGATAAGTGTAAAAGCAACAATGGCTAAATGAAATGTTTCTACTTTTTGTTTTTTTTTTACTTTTTTGGGGAGTAAAGCCAGGGCATAACAGAGTAGCCACTCCTATCTGTCATTTATACTGAGATCTCTTATCCTGGGTAAATTAATCATAAACATTGCAGACATCCTGAAATTAAAAAAAAAAAAAACTTTTTTTTTTTAAATTATAATAATAACCTTGTTAGTTCATGTCACTGGCCATATTAAGCATAAGAAGAAGAAAAACATTAACCAATCATACCATGCTTAACTTCCCACTCCCACCTATTCAATTTGACTTTAAATAAAATGCATCCATAACCTGCATGCTTTCCTTTCAATATCTCACATCTGACACCAACAGCTTCACTCCTCACAACTGCCACTAGGCTGCACTGTTCCAGTTTAGAATCAAGACACATGGACAGTAGCAGACACCAAGCAGCTTAAAGCAGGCGTGTTACAGGATATGGGTTCTTCTCAAGTAAAACCATCTAATGCAAATCATACACTGCAACGCAAAATTAGCAAATTAAATGCTAAAATAATTAATGAGGAATGTTAAACTTAAAAACTTGATAGTTCATAAAGTAAATACAATCTTTGCAAATATGTATCGTTATTTGTGCTGAAATATTTTGTAAACTCCATAGAATCTCTCAAATTCAAGCAAAACCTCAATTATGCACAAACAGGTATTTAACCGATCTTTAAAATTTTCTGTATAACTCCATTGTGAAATTCATTGTATAGAAACGTACAGTCAGAATATCTTCACAGTGGTGGCGACAGGAACCAGAGGTTGTCTTCAACTCAGTCATTTTATTTATTTACTATAAAAAGAAACATTAGTGAACCTACATGTGTCTTGAGTTTTTATATGCAATACAGATAATGGTAAAATGTTAAAATAGTGGTAAATACTTAATGTTTTTTTAAGCCAAAACTGTCACAAAACACTGCCATAAACAATCACACTGTCATAAAACTGTAATAAAGCAATGTCTCAGATTATTCATAAAAATATTTTATGTAAAACATTTGTGAAGTAGCTTGTAGTCATTAAACTCCTATGACCACCAGTGAAAACATCCTGACTTGGCAAGTTCCTCTACAACAGAGAACTTCACATCAAACCACTCTGAATGATTCTGTTTATGCCTTAATAATCATAGTGCACAGAATTTTTGAAAAGTCAGTGGAAATCCGCTTTAATGCAAAACTACACAGATGACAGTGTTTTTGATCAAAGTCATTTTAAGAAACACTACAGAGCTGCAAAAACCCAGACACGTCATAACCACTCACACACTTATGCATACACACCCCTTTGAAGATGTCCATAAGGCTGACCACTGGTATCTTAAGCATATTCATCCCTATTGTACAATTGTCCTCCAGGTGAATACTTCTGGACCAGTGTGATGCTGAGTAGAGAAGTGAGGATACTGTGGCTCTACATTACATTACATTCAACTAGATTGCATCAGTCTAACAGCATGATGGTGAGGTCACCCAACTCAGCTCAATCCAGCATCTCAGCCTAAGTGGAACTGAGAGTGAAACGAGATTAAAACTGTGCTTGTGTGCATCACTTCACTGACCTTTGCATGCGTTGGGGCCTAAGTCCATTTAATATGAAAGAATGGTATTTAAAAATAAAAATTCTTGAACAGGCCATGTTCACAACCTGTAAACATTCATCAGAGCAGGTGCATGGAGCCAGATTTTGTCAGATATAGCAACATAGAGTTTGTAAACTTGTTTCCACATCTGTATGAACATAGACAAATAGCTTTTTTCTTAACACAAACGACTCCCATTGAGCTCTGTATTCATTACATGGGAATTTCACTGATTTTTCAAAATGTGATTTCGCATAATTACATGGTTGAGATATAAACCAAGTCATTCTGAGCGGTGTGACATGAGACGCTTCATTCTAGAGAAACGTACTGAGTCACTGGTGACAGAAACCAGACGTCTGAAAAGTTTAATGGCTGCAAAAGCTCCTTCACTGAAACTTGACATGAAATGGTTGAATAAGTTGCCTGATGCCTGAAACACTGCGTTATAATAGTTATGAGGGTTTTTTTTTTTTTGCCCTGAAGTGATTATTTTTTTCAATTTTATCATTACTTTATCAACATTACATACAAAAGCTCAGAAGACACAAGTAGGTTCACTGGTCATTCTGGATAATAAATAAACTGTTTTGTAAACATTGTGACCCCTGGTTTCTATCATCACCACTGTAAAGAAATCTGAGTCTGCAAGTTTCTCTACAACAACAAATCCAGGCCATTTTTTATTTGCAATGTCTTAAAAATGTGGTATTTGCGTGGCTCCGTACAGCAGTGGTTGACCGAATAACCGTACTTGCACAAATATCTGCCAACTTAGTCAATCAGCAAAGACTTCTTTGCTTCTTTACTTCATAACTGTAGCCTATTACAATGGAAGTGTATGTCACTGAAAAAGACTTTAGGTTGCATAGACTTCCATAACTAAGTTAGCTACATTAACCAATGAGCTAAGCTGAGCATATTGTATATATCATCAGTACTTAAAGGACACTGACCAAATACATGTTTCATTACAAAGTGAGTATAATTAATCCTGTTAATTGGGTATAGTGCAGTGCAGTTTGTAAAACAATGGAAAAGTTCATTGTAGTTGTAGGATTATTATTATTATTATCATTATTATTATTAATAATAATAATAATATATTTTTATCTGTGGCCCTACAGGTTCTATTTTGTCTGTTTCAACGTATTAGATCTCAGAAAAACTAAATATCGTGGTGCACAAGCTATATCGTCAAACTGTCTTGAAGTATCATGATGTAATATTTTCTGCCATATCGACCACCCCTACGATCAAGCCGGGTGTCCATCGTATAGCCGTGCGACACCAAATAAATCTAAGAAATGCAGCTCCTGCTCTCAGGCTCTGTTAGAGCTATTCCAGCGTCCACCATCTGTCTTGAGAAAGTTGACATTAATTCATCCACTGTGGTTCACGTTTACGTTACTATAACGTTACTATACTCATAACTCACTACAACGTAAACTTAGCTTGCTGTCGTTATATCACAACCTTTGGACTTCATCGGCGGAAAACTGCAGAACATTTCACCAGGAAATGTTCTGGACTCCTCAATCTTTTCAGTATAACTATCACAGTATCTTCGATTAAGCGAAGCACAGTAAAGTCAGCAAAGCTAACGTTAGCTTTAAAAGCTGGTTCAGGCAAGACAACAACAAAACTTCTAAAGCAGCCTTTGCGTCTGGGTGAAGGCAAGACTACGCTATATTTTGCCCGAAATTAAGTGGCAAATATGATTTCTTTGGACAGCCTGACCGACGTGACTCCACCGTTACCCAACTTACCCCCAGATGTCCGGCTAACCCAGTAACGTTAGTGGTCGACTGTTAACAGAATCAAACAGGTCGCTCTGGACCAGCCCGCATAGACAGACAGATGGAGAGCGAAAAATGTTCAGTACCAGCCCGGTTAAGTATCTGGGTGGTGCCATGGCTGTAGGGTGAGTAACGTTATCGCCCGCCATTAGAGTGAGAGAGCCCGGGAAAGCCAGCCGTGTCCGCTCTCTAGACGCTCTGCTCGAAGCTTAGCTACGAGTGTGAAGTCAGCTTCTTATTCCTATTTTCCAGTTCCACCTTAAATGGTGCAGCAGCCTCGGGCGCCAGAATGTTACAGTGGCCCCATTTAAGGTAGAACGGGAAAATTCGAAATACAAGCTGGCAAATAAGAAGCCCAACTCCAGTCTCGTACTAGCTAGCTAGCTTTGTTAGCAGTAAAACAGTGAGGTGGCTAAACTCGAGCAGTCACGCTCGGAGCCTTTCGGAGCTCTGCTGCTGGGCCGACTCTGCTCAGGCTCCATGACAGTACGACCGCGAACGGACCGCTGCTGCCTTCCGAGCCGCTTTCTGAGTCCGCACGACCAAGTCCAGGTTTTTGCCAACTAACCTCTTCGCTGCCACTGGTGCAGAACCCAGCCTCCTTCTGGCGCCCGAGTTTCTCCGCCAGCTCCAGCAAGCGCAGTAAGCACGGGTCCTCCTGCAGCGTAGCGCCGACGTTCACGGGCCTCGGCCCCCTGGACCGAGCCGCTCGCTCTTCGGCCCCCAGCCGGCCCACCCGCAGACGCCTCTCCCTCTTCAGCTGACTCCGAGATGCCCATGGCCTTCCGGGGAAACGACCGCGCACCGTGGCCGACGGGTTTGCGCCTGCAGTGACAACCGAGGCTGGTAATCCGCCTCCAGCTGCCGCCATTATGATCGACCACAACAACAACGGCGGTGCTGCGCTTTGGGGAGGAACAAGATGGAAAGGCGCGAGATTGCCTGCGTGGCGCGGGGCATGATGGGAAATGGAGTTAATGTGTTTCTAAGGTGTTCCAATTTATTTGCATCTATGTTTTGCTGGTCTAGTTACACAGTGTTTTATTTATTGTTCCTTTAATAATAGAAGTGTAGAATTACATAGTGCTTAAACGCCAATTTCGACCATTTCTCTTGGCCAAAAGCTTCACCTACAGTGTCCCCTGTAATTTAAAATGGATTCAATTAAAGTGAACAAAAATGTTGTTTTAGATTTACTTTATCTATCTATCTATCTATCTATCTATCTATCTATCTATCTATTCATTCGAACTGAATGTGAAAAGACCTAAATTCTTAAAAAAAAGATGGTTCTGCAAGGGTCCTTTAGTTAAGGGAAGGGCTATTTAGAACCATGAATTCCATATAGAACCTATTTAAAAAGTTTTTATATATATATATATATATATATATATATATATATATATATATATATATATATATATAGCACCGAAACGTGTTCTGCTCCATCAATCTGATGAACCATTTAAGTATAAAAGGTTCTGTATAGAACTCACAGTTCTAACTAAAACAATTCCCTTTACTAAAGAACCCCTGAAGAACACTTCTTAAGTGTAGATTTAAATGGCATATAGGAAAGGATATCCAGGCCAGTGGGGACAGTAAATGATCATGATGGCTAGTTTAACGTTTCCCAACTCCAGTCCTAAGCCCACCTGCACTGCAGAGTTCCATGTCTTAGCTGCTCTAGACTCAACGGATTCAGCTCCACGAGTGCGTCATAACATTAGCTAATGTTGTGACTCAGGGAACCAAAGAAATGAACTGGAACTGGAGTCTAGAGTTTGTCCTTGCCCTCAGTGTCATTCTCAGCTTTACAGACTCATTAGACTGAGTTTTACAGAAAGTAAAATCACCAATTAGAGAGAAAACACTCAGCATCAACATGTCTGTATCACGATTTTGTGTCGCTGCTCGATAGTATCGATTATCTCGTCTCTCTGTGGCTGAAGGCCGGATTTCTGAGGCGTGAGCTCCTGTGGCGCAATCGGTTAGCGCGCGGTACTTATACAGCAGTACTTGTGGAGAAATGCCGAGGTTGTGAGTTCGAGCCTCACCAGGAGCACGAGTTTTAAAAAAAAACGACGTCGACACGACCCTCGGTCTGTGTGCTCAGGTCGCTGCTCCTGCAGACCCTCCTGAGGAGTTCACCTCCAAACTTGACTCCGCACATCTGATCCGGCTCATCTGTCCGCTCAATGAGCCCGATGGTCAGTCGTGTTAAATTCGAGCGGGAACTGCTGTAGGGTAGACCCCCAGGAGCACGTCTAGCGACCGAACTCATACAGGGACTACTTATAAAAAGTTGTTCGATGTTGTGAATGGTTGTTCGAGGTTGTTCGATGTTGTGAATGTCTTTCCTTACTTGCTCGTGATCGTAGACTTTGTGAGAAAGTTCGGGAGTGCAACTCATACCGTGAAGTGTGCTGGGCTAATATTTGTAAACGGTTCGTTAAATGTTCTGTAGTTTGGCCCTCGAGAAATTTACACCACGCGCGACCGTGGAGTTTAGGAGGTGTGGCGTGTTTCCGCGACTCACATCAACAATCTGATTGGTCGGCGCTCGGCTCATTTGCATAAAGTTCATCCAGCGAGAGGGAGGAGAGAGAACAGGGTGGGCTTCAGCGGTGCCATACAGTGCAGGGGTTACTATACGGTTTCTTTCGTGCTGTCCAAACAATTCAAATGGAAAAGAAATAAACACATCTTATTCTATCGTATTCATCGTATTCTATAGTACATGAATCTGCAGTGTATGTTTCCGGCTGATCGTTAATCCAGTAAAAGACTCCAGGTGTTGAGGTTTGTTGTGTGAGACGCTCTGGGCTTCACAAAGCAGTCGTGAAACAGAGGGCTGATCTCGGATCAGACATCTTTTCGTTCATAACGGTTAATGTAACAAAAGCTAATTCTGGATCAGTACTCTCAGCCCAGGAGTCGGGAAACTGCTAGCCAATCCGAGTCGAGAGGGCGGAACATTATTAACCAATCCTGGCGCAGGAGGCGGGGTTTGTCGACACATGGGTAGGGAAAAAACTCATGCGACAGAGAAACGTGAGGCGAAGTGAGAGGAGTTATCAGCAGCCTGGAAGTCGAGATAAGACTCTCACTGCTCCCCCAGTTCTGTTTGAATATGTGAAATAACCGATAATAATATTAATAATTAATTAAGTTTTGGTTTCTCTTTCTGTCACAGGATTCTTTAAATAACCACACAGCGCAGTCCATAATGTAGATTACCTATCGCTCAAACATGCTCTCTTTATTCAGACTGATGGAGAACGTGTTGTATATGGTTCTATATAGCACCAAAAAGGCTTCTGCTATTTTTACGATGTCAAGCTTAAAACAACAGAGGAACCTTTATGGTGCGATATAGAACCATATATGACACATTCTCCATCAGCCTGAAGAACCATTTCATCATGCAGTGAACCATTTAAGCACTGAATGCTTGTAGAACTCGTGGTTCTAGATAGAGCCATTCCCTTTACTAAAGAACCCTTGAGGAGCCATGTTTTTTTTAACAGTGTAGGACCAGAAGCTTGGTGATAATCTTGTGATAAATACTTTTGGTCACTAGATTCCTGGTGAGACTCACTCACTCCATGCCTTGCAGGCTTTAACATGAACTGTTATTTAACTGTCATTTGTCTAATTACAGGTGTTTGCTTTTCACAATTTAAGTTCACAGATTGAAGAGCTACAGTTGGCAACACAGAAGAAAGGAGATCTAAATAAGGCTGTTTTTCCTTTTATTTTCTTTAGCTGTGTCCCCAACCTATGGAAGCAACCTTCTGTTCAACAACAGCTTTATAGTTCACATTTATACACAATAAAATAACCAGCACTAAATTAACTCTTATGGAGTAAAATGGGTCTTTTGTATGGCCCAACAAGAGCATTGTAAGAGTTCATTTAACACTAATAATTGTATGTATATGTGTATTACTAGACTTGTCCAGGGTCTATGCTGCCTACCACCCAATGACTGCTGGGATAGGCTCCAGCTCCCCTCGCGACCCAGAAGGATAAGCGGTTTAGATGTGTGTGTGTGTGTTTATTACTAGAACTAGAAAACTCCTCCACCACTATATTTTGCAAGTAATGTGTTTGTGCAGTATTATAAAATTACACAGAACATGAAGGACCCATTAGATACATCTGTTTATCTTGGGTGACAGTTCATGTAGGCTAACAAAAGGAACTTGAACCATGTGGAAGCCATCTGCAGCGATGACTACTGTTCTCTCTGTGCACAAATCGACTACATAAAACACTGTGCAAAAGTCAGAGACCACCCTTGTTTAGTGGATTTCTAGACAGCCATTTAGTATAAGTTACTCACCTTTCAGCATCAGTAACAAAAGCAGCAAGAAAACGTATTTAACAGAAATTCACACAGAAACCACAACAAAGATTTTTTTCCAGCATTTCATGCATCCACATTTTGCCTTTATTAAAGCTTCCATTCTTTTCAGGGGTCTTGCCTTCAGTTTTTCATATAAATCTGCAGGGATTATCTTTCCACACCTCAAAAGTTCAGTCTTAGAAGTTGGTTGCATTTTTTGTTTCTCACAGTCCAGCTGATCCCAAACACTGTCAGTGATGCCGAGCTTGATTTTCTCCACTCTCTCAAAGATGAAAGCTTTAAGTACTGTTTATCTGATGGTGAGTTTTGGTGGTCTAGCAGGTCTTGCATGGTTCTATCATTTTTTGAACTCCAGTTTTGGAAACGCCTGTTTTTTCCCCTCTTATTTTTCTTTGACTTCTTCCTTGCTTGTGCAAGTGAATTATCTTATGTTTAACCTCCTCGGAATCTCCTGAAAAATGAATAACTTGTGCTTGATGGCCATTTTTACTGGAAATTAACCTTAGGCTTATTACATGCTAAGGCCTATTACTGATTAACTACAAGCACTTCAGTGCAAACTAATGTGGCTTTTCTTAACTAGTTAAAGATAACTGAGGTTACAGCACAGTTTGAAATACCTAATATTTCATTGTGGTACTCAAAATGACTGTTATTTATTGCTCAAGCTGTATGTTTCTGAAATGCTGGCTATTCTGGGTTGGAGAAATGTACACTTCCTGTGCTCAAGCCTTGCTTTTTCACCACAATTCTCAGATTTGATAGAGTGGTTGGTATTTGGAATTTCAAGGGTGGTTGAACTCTCGACCGCAAGCAAGTTTTGAATTAATAGGTGGGTTACCAGCTATAAATTAGCTAGCTCCATTTACATTTGATAAACAAATTTGGAGGTTATAGTAGAAATTAGAAATAAAAGCACTAACATTAAAATGTTGTTAATTAAGTTATAGAAGTGTGTAATAGAACTTTAGACCCGCCATCGGGCCCGTGGCTTGGTAAGGAGTTGAATGAATGAAGGATGGTCTCAGATTTTTTCTCAGTACTGTACATTAAGTGATACCTACTGAAACACTTCCCATTATGGTCATGTTTTCATGGTAAAAGACGGCATCATTTTGAAGCAGATTCCATAGATGTTCATATATAGGTGCCAAATCTAATAAGGTTCATAGAACTTTATTAGCAATTCTGAGACAGGGTGGCAAAGCACCACAAGGTGGATGCTGATAACAGTTCATAAATCAGTAAGAGACAACACTCTTTTTCTTAAATAACATTGTGTGATAAGGTAAAGGGGAAAGAAGCGTTGAGAGGACTTTGCAAAAAGGAGGTGGAAATGAAGTCTAAGCCCGAGCCTGCTGCTTCTGCTGGAACTCCGCGATCCTGCTCTCCATAACGGGGCGGAAGTGACGGATCAAACCCTGGAGAGAGAAGTGAGAAGAGAGTGTGAGAATTGAGTCAATTACCACACAAGTGTTGGACTGCATGTTCTATGGTACTAATGCATTATCTCCGATGGCATACCTGTACCGGCCACGCGGCTCCATCACCCAGAGCACAGATGGTGTGACCCTCAATTTGTTTGCTGAGCTCCCAGATCATGTCAATCTCAGCTGCCCGTGCATCTCCCTTAACAAAGCGCCACATCATCTTATTCATCCAGTCCACTCCTGAGCGACACAGAAATGAGAAAAATATAAATAATGCTAATATATACCAACTGGCCACTTCACTATACCTACCTTGTATCTACACTCATTGTCCATTTTATCAGGTCCATGTACCATATAGGTGCACTTTGTAGTTCTGCAATTACCTCTGTGGGCAGCATCCTGTGACCACTGATGAAGGACTAGAGGATGACTAACACAAACTGTGCAGCAGCAGATGAGCTATTATCTCTGACAGTGCATCTACAATGTGGACCAACAAGGTAGGTATGACAGAGTGGACAGTAAGTGGACACACACTAACACACCACCACCATGTCAGTGCCACTGCAGTGCTGAGAACGATCCACCACCCAAATAATACCTGGTCTGTGGTGGTCCTGTGGGTGTCCTGACCATTAAACAACAGGGTAAAGGGAGCTAACGAAGTACGCAGAGAAACAAATGGACAACAGTCTATAATTGTAGAACTACAATGTGCACCCATGTAGGTAGGTGTACTTAATGAAGTGGTAGGACAGTTTATGCTTGTGTATGACTAAGCTTTGAGTTTCCAAGCTGACTGGTATTTCGCTGTTGTCAGGACAAAACATTTTTCAGTTTTTGGCATAATTTGAAAATGCCAGTTGGCCTTTACACTGTGTGTAAATTTCATGATGAATGGACCAAAAGAAACTTGGACAAATGTCTGGTTCCATTGACTTACATTAAAAATAAAGTCGTTTTTTTTCCTTCTCCTGTAAAGTTATCATTTTGGTGATACAAGGTTGTCTTCCGACAACAGCGATATTTTGGGAGTCTAATGGAATTTAACTAAATGAACTTCAAAAACTTTAATTTCATAGTTTGGTCATAAAATAAAATGAGTACCGTCTTTAGTGAAATCAGAAATGTTACACGTATAATGTAAACATTTTTATTTATAAAAAAAAAAACAACCTATAAAATTAATTTGGTACATAAAACCAAGCAAACATTACACAAAAAAATAAATGAAAGGTGTAGCATATCATTGCTGTTCAAATACAAACATGTATCTCCAAACAAGGAGGGTCTGCAGGAAACGGTAAAAACGTTATTAACTTTTAATGTAAGTTAACGTAAAGAGGTTTATTCCAAGTGATTTCAGAGCATTTCTATTGGCCCATTCATTATCAAATTTTAACACAATGTAAATGACAGCTGCCATGTTCAGATGATGTAGAAAAATAAAGGTGTAGATGTAGATAATCAAGATACATGTTTATTAAGTACAACAACATTATGTTCCCTTTAAAATCACATACTGGAGCATCTCAAGACAAAGCCAGGGGATAAGATCATTGAGATTATTAAACCCTATTAGTATTTGCACAATACTAATATTCTGTTGAATATTTTGTTGATCCTCGGACTCAGCTTTGTAGTACATTCCTTACATATGCACAAACTGATCATACTATTTATATTAAACAGAATAAGGATAAATGTGAAATAGGATATCATGTCTTTCCCAGGGAAATCGCTAATGCATTGCTGTCTATGCTGCCTACTGGACAGATTAAAACTCACAGTGCAAAATCATGCATCCAACTTAGTGAGTGTGATTGCTCACCTTCCCTGCAGGGGGTGCACTGGCCACAGCTCTCATGTTTATAAAATTCAATCAAGCGTGCGATGGCTCTAATTACATCAGTCTGTGAACAGAAATAAGAGCCTTAGTCAGCGTTGTACAGAAGCGTTTCCAGATGCTCAATCATATAGTCTGGCTCCACCATCCTGAAAGGCATACTTCCACTTAGTTATTGAACATCTATTGTATCATTCTTGCTTACATACAATAAGTATTTTGACATGACTGTGAAAAAGATGCTTAATGGTGAATAAATAATCGCATATAAGTGATGCTCTATGGCTATGAGTGCAGCTACTCTCCAAAACATACACAGTACAGCCCTTTTAATTGTATCATAGGTCACTCACTGATTTGTCCATGACTATGAGTGCTGCAGTGCCCAGGCCAGTCTGAGCCTGGATGAGGGCATCAAAGTCCATCATAACATCTTCACACACATGACGAGGGATAAGTGGTGTGGATGACCCACCAGGAATCACGCACAAGAGGTTATCCCATCCTCCACGGACACCACCTAGACAAGGAGTCAGAATGATAAACCACCAGAAAACAACCTCCATAAGCTAAACTCACACTATTGATGATAATCACGGGTACGTTTCCAAGCAGAATTTCAAAACTGAACACCTTAACCTGAAAGCGAGGTTCGAGGACCAAAAAGTCCCTTACTACTTCTTCTTAAGCTTAAGTTAATTTGTTAACCCAAATGTTGGGTGGCTGTGAGTGCAGAAAAAACAAGGTACCTGCATGCCTCTCAATCAGCTCTTTCATGGGAATGGACATCTCCTCCTCCACAGTGCAGGGGTTATTCACATGGCCAGAGATGTTGAAGAGCTTTGTGCCAGAATTCCTCTCCCTGCCGAAACCAGCAAACCACGTTCCGCCACGACGGCAGATGGTTGGGGCTACGGCTACTGTCTCTACGTTGGCAACTGTGGTCGGGCAACCAAACACACCTGCGAGAAGACAAGTAAAAAAGTCACAAATTTTAAAGTTGAACTGTACTCACAATGCAAATATAAATGGACTCGCATAAAACTACTTCTTTAGGCATTTTTCATTTTGCTTGCTCTGTGGAATGTCTTACCCACATCAGCAGGAAAAGGGGGCTTCAGGCGAGGCTTTCCCTGTTTCCCCTCAATAGACTCAATCAGAGCAGTCTCCTCTCCACAGATGTATGCCCCAGCTCCACGCATTACAAACACATCAAAGTCATACCCTGAGCCGCAGGCATTCTTGCCAATAAGCCCTGCGCCATATGCCTCATTAATGGCAACCTGGGAGAAAAGAGGAGCGGCAGATACATTAATGGTTTACTGATTGTACTTCCGCTCTCTAAGGGTTAACATAAATGTCACATTTGAAAAACTTCTTACAAACACTGCTTTAATTAAAACATCAAAAGGTGTTCATTTTCTAAAGCAGTGCTTTTTTTTAAACTGGCCCCCAGACTAATGCGATTTTTGCTCTATCCCTATGTGTTGGGAGCTGAGTGAGCAAAAAAGTAAACTGTCTGTCTGGTCTTAGAATGACTGTTCTAGGGGTGTTTTCAAACCTGGGTCCTGGAGGCCAACTGCCCTGCACATTTTAGTACTTGCCCTGATCCAGCAAACCCACTTCAGCTCAGTAAGGGGTTGTTAATGAGCCAATTAGTTGGATCAGGTGTGTTGGCAGTAGAGAAAACATTAAAATGTGCAGAGTAGTCGGCCTCCAAGACCAAGACTGGGAAACTGTTCTAGAGGATGTGTAAAGTGCCTTGTTATGCTAAGCTCACCCTAGAAAGCAGAAAATACTAATAAGTACACATCCTATACAGAGAATACACTTCCGTACATTTAATGCACTTTTACTAATGCACTGTAAGTCCTATTTATTTGCTGAATTTAACATACTAGAAATATGGTCACCCAGAAAAACAACAAACCATTTCATTTGACCAGGGGTGTTCAAACGTTTGTATATGACTGTAAATCAAACTTGCAGAACAGCATTTAAAATAACCTGATGTGAATACATTTTAGTTTCTGAAGTCTCTGCCTTTACCGCTCAGCTTTTGAAATGTACCTACCAACAATATCACCATAACTTCGATTTCTGAACTCACTATGACTACAACTGACGAGAACAAAGTCTTAAAGACACTGTAACAAAAAAGACTGTTTAATTCTAAGGGATAAAAAGAGGCTGGAAATAGGTAAAAATTAATTATAATTTGTGAAATAATGTAGGATATGGGCCCATTAAATGTTTGTATGATACCAAACTTGAGAGTTACATTAATCATCTAGCAAAGTTTGACAGAAAAATTCTGGTGAAGTACATGTAAACATTCACCAATTACTTAAAGGGCTTAGTTTATATATGCGTACTGCGTGTCCACAACACCAACATTAATCAACAAGACCAACACTAGTTTCCCACTTCTTTAAGATGAGGCTCATCTTTCTCACCTGAAGATTTGAGGACTCATTGTAGAACTCTCCACGGATGTAGATATAGGCAGCACGTGCTCCCATGGCCCTGCCAGCAACCAAGCACCCCTCCACCAGCTTGTGCGGATCACTACGCATGATCTCCCGATCTTTACAAGTGCCAGGTTCTCCCTCATCAGCATTCACCACCAGGTACTTAGGCCTGAGCAAAAGAGAAAAAATTTTAATAGTGCATTTATGTCACAGAAAACCAAAACAGTGGTGTATAATCTATGAATATTCATGACCTTAAATGTGAATTATGACTCAAGAAAACAAGAAAAGTTATTGCCACACAGAAAAACAAAATATCACAAGGTACTCCTGAGCACCGCTTAGTCAGTTTTGAACCAACCTGCCGTCACTGGGCTTGTTCATAAAGCCCCACTTCATTCCAGTGGGGAAGCCGGCTCCTCCTCTGCCACGCAGACCAGACACTTTAATCTCATTGAGGATCCAGTCCACTCCCTTCTCCAGGATCTCCTTGGTCTTGTACCAGTCACCCCGACTCAGTGCACCCTTCAGCCTGTAATGAAGGCAATATAATTCATGCGCACACTGCTTTCTGTACTTTTTAGATTATTCTAACAAAACTAACAAAATAAGATCAATGTACAACAATCTTAACATAGTCCATTACTAAGTATGGATGTTGTATGTAGGAGATTATGATACAATATGTATCGTCGCCACATCTTTTACTTCAGATATTAATGTAGAAGAAGTAGTTCTAAGAAACAAACACAGCACACAATACCTCCAGTCATGACGCCCATACAGGTTGGTGAAAATTCTGTCCTGGTCAGCAAGAGGTCCAAACTTTGTCTTCTTGGGTTTCTCCTGAGCAACACAGTAAACTTGTTAGGATATCTTATATCTCTATTCAGTAACTGTATGTGCAAACCATACATTTCTAAACCCAGTAATCACCAACTTTACTCCTGGAGATCGACCTCCCACCACTGTGGCAAGCGTAGCTCCAACTCTAACCCACCACACACTACCCATCAATTGCTGACACTATAGAGCAGGATTCACTAATCTTATCCACACAAGACTGGTGCCCCCACAGATTTACATTTAAATGCAGAACAACATCCAATTCCACTTGTTTAGTCCATTAGTTTCAGGCTTCAAACAACTACTGACATGAGGAGTGCTCCTGCTTAGCTGAACTAAAACCCTGCAGCCACACCGGCACCGAGTTGGAGAAGAAGTGCTTTAGACAAATAACCACATCATTGTTCCACCCCAGTTCCAGGTACACTAGTACCAATCAAGAACTACCAATTACCTTGTGCAGGTGTGATGGGAACTGGGTTGGAGCAAAAATGTGCTTCCCAAGTTAGTACAGAACCCCTGTTATGAGCTTGAAGAAGAAAAATACCTGCTGAGCTGTGGTGTTGTAGCGCACCAATGCCACGCTGCTGCCTGCATTGAGTGAAGTGGAGGCTGCAGGAACACGTGAAGCCGCAGCTGCAACAGCAGGCACACGTGAAGCACCGCTGCTGAGAACCCGGCTCAGGACAGGACAACCCACGCAGGATAACATCCTTTCCTGTGACAGAGAGACCACACCATGAACACACATTACAAGTATATTCAACCGCATTTCCAAAAAAGTTGTGACACTGTGCAGAATGTAAGTAAAAACAGAATGCAATGATATGCAAATCATGTAAACCATATTTTTAAAGGAAAATAGTACAAAGACAACATATCAAATGTTGAAACTGAGAAATTGTATTGTTTTTTGAAAAATACAACACGTTCCAAAAAAGTTGTGACGGGGGCCTGTTTACCTGTGTTTCATCACCTCTTCTTTTAACAGCACTCTGTAAGCGGTTGGGAACTGAGGAGACCGACTGCTGTAGTTTTGAAATGGAAATGTTTGCCCATTCTTGTTTGATATAGGATTTCAGCTACTCAACAGTTTGAGGTCTCCTTTGTTGTATTTTTAGTTTCATAATGCACCAAATGTTACCAGCGGGTGACAGGGCTGGACTGCAGGCAGGCCAGATTAGCACCCGGACTATTTTAATACGGAGCAGTGCTGTTGTAATACATGCATAATGTGGTTTGGCATCATTTTGCTAAAATAATCAAGGCCTTCCCTGAAAAAGTCGTCGTCTGGATGGCAGCATATGTTGCCAAAGCCTGCATATATCGTTCAGCGTTAATGGCGCCTTCACGGATGTACACGTCACCCATGCCATGTGCACTAATGCGCCCCTAGACCATCATACTGGCTTTTGAACTGTGCACTGATAACACACTGAGTAGTCTTTAGCCCAGAGGACACAGCATCCATGACTTCCAAAAAGAATTTCAAATGTTGATTCGTTGGACCACAAGACACTTTTCCACTTCCCCTCCATTTTCAATGAGACCGGGCCCAGAGAATGTGGCAGCCTTTTTGGATCCTGTTTATATATGGTTTCCTCCTAGCGTTTTAAAGTTTTAACTTGCATTTGTGGATGCAGCGACAAACTGTTTTCACAGACAGTGGTTTTCAGAAGTGTTCCTGATCTCATGCAGTGATTTCCACTACAGAATCATGTCTGTTTTTAATGCAGTGTCACCTGAGGGCTCAAAGATCACGGCCAGCCAAAAGTGGTTTTTGGCCTTGTCCCTTGCACACAAAGATTTCTCCAGATTCTCTGAATCTTTTAATGTCATTATGTACCACAGATGATGAAAAGCAAACGTTCTTTGCTATTTTATGTTGAGAAACGTTATTCTTGAATTGTTGCACTATTTGATCGTGCAGTCTTTCACAGAGCAACTAACCCCTGCCCACCTTTACTTCTGAAAGACTCAGCCTCCCTGGGATGCTTTTTTATCACCAATAATGTTACTGACCTGTTGCCAATTAACCACCAGGCGTTTTTTAAGCATTACACAACTTTACCAGCCTTTTGTTGCCCCCGTCCCAACTTTTTTGGAATGTGTTATTGGCATCAAATTCAAAATGCGCATATATTTTTCAAAAAACAATAAAATGTATCAGATTCAACATTTGATATGTTGTCTTTGTACTATTTTCAATTAAATATAGGGTTTAAATGATCTGCACATCATTGCATTTTGTTTTTATTTACATTTTGCAGTGTCCCAACTTTTTTGGAAATGGGGTTGTATTTACAGTCACCAAAAGTAGCTTCGCCAGAACAGATTCTATTCTATTAAAACTGAGCTGGCGCCATCCAGTGCACTGTTTTTTGGAAGCTTTGGACAGAAATAGTGCTGAAGGGGAACTCCACCAATTTTTCAAAAGTTCCACAAAATTAAATGGTTGAGATGTAAGCCAGGCATGTCAAACTGGGGACCTTCCGGTCCAAAGTGCTGTGAGGACCGGAGCCTGACACGTGATGTAAACAAAGTCATTCTGAATGGTTTGGTGTGAAATGCTTAATTCTAGAGAAACTTACAGAGTCAGAATTGTTTACAGTGGTGGTGAAAGGAACCAAGCGTCTAAAGAGTTTACCGCCTCTGAAAGTTTCCTCACAGAAACAAAATGGTTATGAATATGCTGCATGCTGTCTGAGGCATTATTTGTAATAAAGTTTTTACCACCATCAATATTACATAAAAACTCAGAAGACATGTTCACTGATGGTTTTGAACAGTAAACAATGGCTACATTTGTGTTGCAGACATGCCAACCCCTGGATCCTGTTCCCACCACTGTAAGGGAACCTGTGTCTGTATCTTTCTCTACACCGTATCCAACCACCCTGAATGACTTTGTTTACATCGCAACGACGGAATTACCTAAACAATTCTGAAATTCTGTGGTGCATATAACTCTAAGGTTTTTAAAATACTCAGTGACACATCATACAACTGTGTATATAAAGATAGTTTTACATGTGTATTTGTGTTGAATGCGTTTCTACATATTGCACGTTCGTATCGTATCATATTATAAGCCTAATAATGCATCACCGAACTTGTGACATTAATCGCACTACATGCACCAGAGACAACGGCTTAAAAATACAAATACGGACCAACTTGTAGAAATAATAGTTAGAAGATTAGAAAATATGAGAAAATAAATGAAATTAAATGTGATGAAAGCAAGAAGGAGCCACAGTTCTCATCACTCCTAACAAGTAAGAGTTCACAGAGGTAAGTTAGGCTAACAGTCTGCTGCAGCAGTGTCTCGGAATCTAAGCTAGCTAAAAACAAAACGGACAACGCGGCCAACTGCAAAAAATGCATATTTCTAACAGACCAGGTCCCTCAGAAAAACGATATAAACATCCAACCTCTGAAGGCGGAAACCACTCTTTACTAGCCAAATGTCTGAAACTAGCGATCCGGCCGAAGCGCACAGCGGTGACCTCCAGAGTGACTGAACCGAGAGAAGGACCGCTAAGACCGCTAAACCGGCATCACTGACGCCCTTCGCTCCGACACACCGTCCGCACTAACACTCCGCCATTACAGACCTCAGTAACACATCATCTCCACTTTCACTAGAAAACCTCAATCACCACACAGCTCACAGCAGCTCTTTACCTTCGGTTATGCCCGGACTTCTGATTACAAAACGCTGGGCGGAAACATTAGCACAGTGAGCCGGATGTAGCTCTGCTTCTTCTGTGGAAGACCGGACTGCGGACAGAAAGCGGTTACTGCCACCTACCTACTCATACTGAGAGGAACACAAGTTTTACATGTTTAAGATGAACACACGTAGTATATACACACATTAAACGAGTAAAGCATTGGTGAGCTAAACCAGCTCTGCTCGGCGGGTCTAATTCCACTCTTTCTCTGCCTCATCTCCCCGCGCACTGAGCCACACGTATAGGCCTTGACTGCTTGGTACAGTTCAGGCATATAAGGATCCGGGGCTCAGTCCAGTATAGTAGAAGCTTTTTTAGTTCAAAATGGTTTGTCTTAAAAACAAGAACATAACCAAAGAAGAGTGAAAACACTAACAGAAAATAAACAGAAAAGATTTACAGTAACAGAAAATGAAACGTGGCCTACCACGTGCTGCCCGTAGTGGGGCCCCAGTCAGTCAGGGCTGATGTTAGGGCCCCATGGTGGCAACCTACCCTCAGCCCTGTATGAGGGATGTGCCCCCCTCATAATGAGGGCTTAGTGTAGGCGGCCAACATATGAGCCCTGACACAGGGCCCTGCATGTGCCCTAGTTTTATGACTGACTGGGGCCCCACAATGGGCAGCCCACGGTGGGACAAATTTTTAGCCCACACTGGATTCACATGGGCATGTTTACTGTTGTGTGGGCCACCAGCATCATTTTTAAGCGAGACAGTTTCTTACCTTATCTTTTGCTTGACTCCATTATATCACATACTGTCTACTAATGTGTTTGCGTGATTCAGTGGCTTTACTGTCACATGTTGGTTGGTGTTTTCACCTTATGACAATACATGAAGTGAAGGCTGATCAAAATGTGGTTACAGTTATCAAATTATGGATCAGTTTCACCTTCGTAAACAAGCACTTGTGCCCACTTAGTTGTGTCACCACTGCTGACCCCTTTTCAGCAGCTACAACCTTGGGCAACTTAGAATTTCAAAAAATCGCAAATCTTCTGTACAACTGAAATTATTGTGGAAATAGAGTTTAGTAGAAGTAAGTAAATGAAATTTCACACTGAACCAAGACGTCAACCTAAGTGTCTCAAAATCTTCTCATTACTCATAAATGCCAAGAGGTGTGACAGTGGCCAAAAATCAGGAAACAAGTTGTAACAGATAATTTTCTTTAGAAGTATTTGAATTTCAGTGGAATGTACTTAAAATGGATTTTAACTACTAAACAGCAGGCTTTTTATTCAGATACTAAACATAATACATATTATTCAGTAAATACTAGGAATTATTAACTATGTCTATATAATTAATATGTAAGTTATGTATTTATGAAAGTGAGAAACTAAACTTTGGGCCTACATACAGATCATTAGGGTCGGGGGGTTAACAAGATTTAAGTGGCTTTAAAGGTGGATTCCACTTATTTTACAGCATCATCCAGTCTTGAGGTACAAACAAAGTAATTCAAAGTGTTCTAATGTGAAATAGTTAATTGTAAAGAAACTTACTGACTCAGATTTCTTTACAGTGGTGGTGACAGAAACCAGGGGTTATGATGTTTGGGGCATGTTTGCTTCCCAAAATGACCAGTGAACATAATGATGATAAAATAGTGGTCAGTCAGGGAAAAGTAAGTTTTCCTCAGGGACTGCTTTGCCTTATGGTGCCCTGCATGTACCTATGTGCCATGAATGAATGTTAAAAAACTAGTTTTAGGCCAAAAACCTTCTCTCAAAACTATCATAAAACAATGTGTCAGATATCAGATAGCATATTCAGATGAGTTCCTGTAATAACTTTCTGTGAGGAAGCTGTTGGAGGCATCAAACTCTTCAGACGTCTGGTTCCTGTGAACAATGTGAACAGTTCTGACTCAGTAGTTATGTTGAGGTGTTTGTGTACGTCGTAACTATCAAATTATGCAGAAATGTTGAAAAAAGCTATTTATCCAGGCAGTAAGCCTTATAAATTTTATCCTCTACAGGCAAAAACACAGTTGCTGCTCAGATCAATACACACACACACACACATCATCTAAACCGCTTATCCTTCTGGGTCGCGGTGGGGTGCTGGAGCCTATCTCAGCTGTCATTGGGCGAAAGGCAGGATACACCCTGGACAGGTCGCCAGTCTATCGCAAGGCAGACAGACACACCTAGGGGCAATTTAGCATGTCCAATTAGCCTGACTGCATGTCTTTGGACTGTGGGAGGAAACCCACGCAGACACGGGGAGAACATGCAAACTCCACACACGGACCCTGGTCGCCCGGCCAGGAATCGAAACCAGGCCCTTCTTGCTGTGAGGCAACAGCACTACCCACTGCGCCACCATGCCGCCCCCAATACTTACAGTCATATGCAAAAGTTTGAACACCTATGGTGAAATTACACATTGATTCTCTTCTTAAATATCACATTTTTCTGTAAATTTCTATTTATTTGCTAACTTTAACATATGGACAGAAAGCATTAACACATTGATTTAATAAAATATAAAATGTGCCATAACTTCAGCACAGGCCACACACGTTAATTTGAGTAAATGAGCAGTAATTGGTCATTGAAATATGCAGAAGTGTGTCCTCTGCAGAGCACGTATTCAGTTATTTTCACTTAGAAAAGCAACAAAACGTCATTTGTCCAGATGCACCAAAGCTTTTGCATACAACTATAATTTTCTCAGGTAAGACTTGCATTTAAAAATGTTCATTACTTTCTTTGGCCCGTGCTCTAACTTTGACTTTAACTCTAATTTGAGCCTCCGTGGGCGACTATGCTATAGAACATTAAAACACAGTTGCAGTTTAATTGCTAAATGATTGAATTTGTTCTTCAAACTGAACTTCTACATCTAAATCTAAATCTCAGACCACATCAGATTCAAATATGGCTATAATTTATTTGAACTTGAAGACAAGAAAAAATGAATCTACTCAGTAATCAGGGTGTGCAAAATAACAATGCCTCATTCAAATCAATTGCACTTACATACTTTTTAGGTAATGAAACCAAACTTACTCATTTTATATCCTATACATTTACTATAACCATGTTACACAGTATTGCCTTAAACATTTGGGGACCCTAAATGCTCTTATGTGGTTCTAAAGTTATTTATGTTTATGAAAGCCATTGATGCATATTAGTCTCAGTGCTCCTCTAGAAGCAGTAATCAGAAAGCAAGTGTATTTTGTCAATATTGTGTACCTGACATCTATGATGAACTTCAAACAATCAGTTTTTCTGTTCTTTGCCAGTCATACACACATAACTGAAGGCAGTCTGACCCTGAGGAGCTGCTGTCCCTATGTTCGGTTACGCACGAAGGCAGGTTTAATTACTCTAAGCTGTGATTATATGAATCACATGGTATAATACTTGGGGGACGATCTGACACACAGGACACCAGGACACTCAGACCCACTTTAAACAAGGAATTAATATGCAGTCAGTGTGTGCATTCTGCGTTCCCATGGTAGTGTCTACTGCAAACGTGTGGAGAGCTTGTGGAGTTCGGAATGTCATCAAGGCTGGATGGCAAGCTAGAAAAGTGGACAAGCTCAATTTGTGGATTCTAAGTTTGGAGACAATGTAATAAACCCAGACTCAGTGTACAACATCATCAAAAAGCTCATGTTTCGTCGAACTATTCCTTTTAACCCTTAGAAGTCGCAGTTATCACTGGCAAATCTCAAAGTGAAGATTCTAAATTTTCTTGGGTTTGTAAGTAGAGGATATTTATTTTGGTTTAAATTTGATGAAAGGTCATTGCAGTGCATATCAGTCTTGTTTTACACAGAGAAAAAACATCCTATATATTTTTGCTGCAATTTTGTCTTTTTTTTTTTACATTGAAGCAAATGGAAAAAAAGTCTGATTCAAACCTGTCAAGAGAATGTAAACTGAATGTTAATGTAAATCCATAAGTTAACTATATAACTGAAGATGAAATTATTTATTTACCTATGAACAGTATAACAAAATGACAGCAATAACTCTCAGCCTCTAAGGGTTAACAACAGGTGTGAAAAGGATCCAGATTAGCAGGATGTGTCCAGTCAGTAAAGTCCTTCAGGCGGCTGGCACTTGGAGCATGGGCCTTTAAAGCTCAAAGTTCACTGCTGTCCTGTAATGGTGGGCTTCATTTTAGTGAAGACAATTAACAATTAAGACAATTAAAATGGCAAAGACAATTAACATGACGGGGGCGAAAAGCGACAATTAACATGATATAATGGCATTCTCAAGACATTGCCTTAAGGTTCTGCCTTCACTCCAAGCCATTTTCTTAACCCATGTTCTTATACTGAGTTGTGAGTGTAATGCAACGTCAGTCACTTCTCATAGTTCTCTGTTCATGTGCACTTATAAGGACGTCGTGTTAGATGTGGTTTTATTCTCCATGCGGTCCAGGCGGTCTATGGCAACGCTCTCAAAGGCTCTCCTCATGATGGGGTGCTCCTCCAGAACTTCGTTAAAACTGTCCACACTGAGAGAATACAGTCTGCAGTAGGTGTCCGCTCTCACGCTAGCTGTACGGCGGCCACGGGTCAGCAGGCAGATTTCTGAAAAAAGAAGCAGATCTTTAATCAGCTGTTTTCTACCAGTGACCATTCTATATCTTTTTTGGACGCTTTAACATGTAGTGACTGTCACACCAAAAACTCATAACTCAGTTTATTTAAGATTTTTTTTGGCATGATTTGAAAATGTCAGCTGTCTTTTGCACGGTGTGAACATTTTATGATGAACGGACCAACAGAAATGGTCCACAATTACTTGGAAGCAAATCACTAACGTACAGTACTGTGCCAAAGGCACAGACCACCCTTCATTTATTTTATTTCCATTTAAAATGGCTATTAAGTACAATGTATGCATTTTTTTCGAGGAGCTTGGATATGAGATAAGGAAGGAGAAAATCAAAAATGGGACTTCTAACAACCGTGCAAGACCTGGTAGACCACCATAACTGTCATCATCAGAGAGAGGAGAAAATAAAGCTCCACTTTTGCTTCAGAACTGAAAAAAAAGCACAGCTGCTTCTGTTCATCCTTGCACTGTGAGCAGAAAACACAACAAATCTGAAAGGATGTGTAGTAAGGCTGTAAAGAAAAACTGATTTGAAATGGTAAATTGGTCCAGTCTCTAATATGGCTGCTTTGTATCGAAAGAGAGGGAGAAAGAGAGAGTGTGTGCTAGAAAGAGAGGGAGAGAGAGCGCACAGGAGAGAGGGAGAGAGAGAGAGATTGTGTGCACTATAGAAAGAGTGCATGCGAGAGAGAGGGAGGAAAGGCATGCATGCACACCTGAAATCTCAGTAAAAAATGGTTTTAACTATTAATAGTAAGTAAACTGGCTGTTTTTAAATTTCAAGTTCACTGAACATGTAATAGTCAGTTAACAGGACAATGTGTGTTACATTCTCTTCACTCATTATTTGAAGTGTACTGTAAAAAATGCAGCTTTTAAACTAAAAAAAGAATGTAACCTGGTTAACTTGAAATTTTGAGTTCACAGAACTTAATATTAAGTAAACAAAATAATAATTTGTGTTTTACATTTGTTAGCTTATTATTTTAAGTTCAGTTAACTCAACATTTCGAGTTAATGTGGTTACTTACTTTTTTAAGCTTAAAAGTTTTTTTATAGTATACAATAAAATAAAAATATAGCAGTCTGGTTATTTACCTTTTTAAGATAAAACATGTACCTTCTTAAGTTAAAACGTTAAAAGTGTACATGAAAAGGCACCCATTTAAAAACCAGCCCAATTCGAGCCTGGTGTTGTGTGTGTACAGATCTCTGAAATAGTTAGGACACGACACTCTTAGGACAAAATTACCCAGATGGAATGATTATTTAGCTTTTAATAATATATATAAGCTACAGTTAAAATGTTGCTGTGTTCTTAGTACATTAGAGGGGTACAGTTGGTCGACGTGGAGAGAGAGGAAATTTCCAGATAAGTTTAATAATGGCATTATAGGGGAAACATCTCTGTTCTGACACATTTTTTTATTTTCTGTTCATTTTTATCATTTGTTGATCAATATTGCTGAATCGCTGCACATTTTGTTGATGTGGAAATTCTCACGTTAAATAAAAAGAATCATATCGATGCTGAACCGCATTGTATTGGCTCGGTAATGAATCTAAGTGTATTGAATAATTAGGTTAACTGGATCATTTTTGTATCATAAACTGTGTATTGAGATGTATCCGAAAGGGAGAGATTCACCCCCCTAATGTGTAGCTATCAAGAAACCCTTTCTGAGAAAAGGAAACAGACAAATAAGAAGAAAATCTGCCATAGAACACTGAAACTAAACATTTGAGATGTGAAGTAAGATATTAAAGACAAATGAGTCTAAATTTGTAATTGGGATAACTTGGATCATGAGAAGTAGAAAATACAACCAACTTCTTCTTTTCTTCAAAAAACTGAAAGCAAGCCTCTAGAAATGAATAGAAGCTGTAATAAAAGCAAAAGGTGGAAAAACTAAACACACAAACATTTTATTCTATAATTAGTTGTTAAGGCTTCTGTGCAATATTCTGTTAAATGTATGTTTTTTGCTTTTTTCCTGACACTGATAAATTAATAACTTGTACTTATTAGCCCGGTTTTATTTAACGTGAGAATTTCCGCATCAACAATGTTTGCTATCTGGTGTTGACCAGGATGGGTTCCCCTCCTGAGTCTTGGTTCCTCTCAAAGTTTTCCTTGCCACTGTCGCTACTGGCTTGCTCCTAGGGGCTTGGACCTGGATTTTTCTTTTTCTGTAATGCTGATTTTCTTTTCTTTTTCTGTAATGCTGATTTTTCTGTAAAGCTGCTTTGTGACAACGCTTGTTGTAAAAAGCGCTATATAAATAAACTTTGCTTGGTTGCTTGCTGTGGAAATGAAGATAATGGGTGGTCTCTGACTTTTGCACAGTAGCATAAAATGAAGTTAACAATGTTTTTCCTTCTATTATTAAATTACCATTTTGAGATACTAGGTTTTGTTACAATAGTAATGATACCAGAGAAGATGTGTTATGATAAAAAACTTATAAGTAAAGATGCTGAAACCTAGAGTCTCAGCCGATACCAACCTAATATTTATTTTAGAAAAACTACTGAGCTTTAAAATGAGCTGGTTTTCATTGAAGCACTTCAATTAAGATGAGCATCTAAAATTCTCAAACCTCTCAAACACTCTACTGACCAAGAGAAAAAAACAGCTAACATCCTATCACACAGCGTGAGTGTGCGCTTTCAGTCTAGATTTGTTACAGGACTGGATCGGATTCATTCATTTTTCATTCATCTTTACTTTTAAGTTAAATGGAGAAGGCTTAGACAGTAGGTAGGAAGAAAGACAAATAGAATGAAAAGTTAACGGACCCAAAGCAAAAGACATATAGACTCACCCCCAAAGTAGCAGCCATCACTAAGTTTCTTCTCCTTTTTCTCACGCGTTATGACAGTGACACAGCCATGCTGGATGAAGTACATTTTCCGGCCCAGCGTTCCCTCGCGAATAATGATGTCACCTGGCAGGAAGACCTCAAATCGCAGCTTGGTCAGGAGCACAGTGACGAAGTGTGGATCAGCGTTGCCAAACAGCGGCATGTTCGCCACCAGTCCACGACAGTTGTAGCTCACTATGTCCTGGAGGAAAAACAAGGGATGCAACATGGAGACAAGTTAGTATTAATAAATGTTTACTTCTGTAGGTGACCCTAACTTGCAGAGTTTTAACATTTAACTGATCTGTTATTAAAGTTTCAAGATTATATGATCAGGTAATGTCAGAGTTGTATAGTGTAGTCTAAATTATAAACAGATAAAAGTATGAGTATTTTAATAATAACAATAATAAGTTCAATTTATATAGCACCTTTCACCAACCCTAAGATGCTTTACAATGGGAAGCAAAACAAGGACAACGACAACAACCAAGAAAAAAACAAGAAGTGTAGAGTACCATAATCAGTGAGTAAGAGATAAAATTATCATGTCATAGTTATTACTTTTCAAGAAAGTATAATTATTTTGAAAAAGTAAGCCATTATTTTGACATACCATGTCAAAATGTTGAGAAATTTAGTCATTATTTGTCGTAATATAAAGGTTGGAAACAAAATTCAACATACTCAATGGGGGGGAACGACAGGTAACTTTTTTCACCCGGCAGCTTCCATTTTGATGGAAGGACATCTCTGAGCAGCCATTTTAAAGGGGAATTGCACATTTTTTTCCAAATTTCAGCATAATTCAGCAAATGGTTCCTATCAACACCACTGTGAAAAATTCTGACTCAGCAAATTTCATTAAAACAGTGCATGTCACATCAAGCCACCCTGAATGACTTTGTTTACATCTTAACCATTTAATTACAGAGAAATTTTGAAGAATCGTTAGAATTACCCTTTAACACCGAAATCAAAACCAACTTTTCATAGGCGTTAAACAGCACACATAACTGTCATGCCAGTATTACTAACAGTCTTGGTAAATCGGGGTAGGTAGGTCATTACTGTAAAGACAGAATTCAGACATATGGTGTATAACTAACATAGAAAAAAAGAGTCAGATAATGAGAGAACACCTCTTTAAGTGGGTCACTGAGTTCTCCTAGAATGTTTTCCTCGTCAAACATCTTTCCTTGGAAACGGTGCTCATAATAGTCATGGATTCTCTGTCTCATGTCAGCAGGCAGCTTATGGAAGGACATGTATTGCTCCACTTGCTTATACTGCAACAGACACAACATCCAAACCTTTTAGTATGAAGTGTTATACAACTAGAAGAGCAGCATTTTGTCTCTGTATAAAACACATTATCCTTAATATTAAAGAAAAAAAAACAACATTCATTAGTATTAGCAATGTAAGAAAACAAACAAACTAAACAAATAGAAGAATGTAAACATTAGAGGATAGCATAGGTCCTAACAATTTTCCAGAGACTCACAAATTTTTAATTGAACGAGGTCATTAAGTAAACTAACTGAATCAGGACAACAAAGAATCCCAAAGGCTCCCCATATTAAAGCAGAAACAGGACTACAGTCTGTAATTGGAGAACTACAAAGTGCAGTTATATATGAAGTGAAGCTGATAAAAGGGACAATGAGTGTGGAAACAAGAAGGTGGTTTTAATGCTATGAAATTGGTGCATAAAAGTCATTGTGCCCAGAGTTTTTGATGGCTGCTGTTTTTATATGACACACTGTAGCACAGCATGTGCTACCCCGGGCTCAAGGAGGACACTGGAGGCAGGGTTCAGGGTTGCAGCCGCCAATATTTCTTTAGTCACACATCAAATAAATACAAACCAAAGCCAAAGATACACTATGCTAAGCTGGCCACTTCTCAGTGGCCTCTAGCAACAGACTTTTCAGTCTTTTTACTCAAGCTTTTCAGCTCTTCCTCAGTCTTTTGTCGTTTCTGCTTCTGCTGCCGCTGCTCGCCCCCTCTCGCTTTGTCCCCTCTCAGCTCTTTTAAAAGGCGCTCACGCTGCCAGCCAGATCAGCATCAGCTGGCTCTCATTAAGGTCAGCGTGAGCACCTGAGCCGAGAGGGAACGAGATCTCGCTGCTCCGCTTCCCCGTCACCGCCCCCAGCTCGCAGCTCGGCCGCCTGGGTCGAACGTGAGGTGTAATAAAGCGGCCTCGCTGCGGAACAGGGGGCAGGGCCTGGGCGGTAGAGCTCAGGACTCGCTCTTTGTTCTCGTGCGTCTTGTTGCCGGCACCGTCGTCGTCATCCTCCTCCTCCCGCCGTCACTCGGCGGAGCTTGGGCTTTGCGCTCCGCCCCCTCCTCACTCGCGGCTCTCTCCCTGCTGTCCTGGCCAAGCTTCGTCGCCACTGGGTGTTTGGGCCCCGCCTTCCTGCCGGCTCTCGAGGCCGTCATCGTCGGGGCCCGGGGGACGGGCGCATGCCACACACACTATTTGTGCTTTGTACATCAAAATATTTTGACATGCATTGTGCATCATGAAAACATCTTTAAATATCATGGTATGATTTTTTGCCTTGTCGTCAACCCCTAAACAATACTGCCAGACTGATAATGTAATGAATTCAGCAGATACCTTTTCCTGGTACTGACGATGAGAGGCATCTAGTGACTGCACCAGGGTGGTGGCGTGGCCCAGGAACATGGCGTAACAGGTGGCACCTACAATCATGCTGATCATAGTGAGCCACACGTCGGTCAATCTCTCAGGAGCTTGAGCACCATAACCAATACACAGCATGTGGCTCATAGCCATAAAGAGAGCGTAGGAATACTGCACCTCCCAGGTAGCATTCTGACAAAAGAGGGTATTAAAAAGAAGAATCAAGTTCAAGTAAAAATGAACAACTTGTGGAATCCCAGCAATGCTATGCAAGAAGGATCATGGATAATTTACTGTACTAGTTAGTAAATTCCACACACTAAGTTTATATTAAAGATCATCTTGAACGTCCCCAAACACATTTAGCCTCCTCACCACCATGTTGTTTTTGGAGACCCAGCAGTTTGAGGGGAATTCCTGCAGCATGGGCACCATGAACTGAAGACAGCCGTCCCAGTGACACAGGAGAAGCATCATCCCAATCAGGTTCACTATCCGAACCACTGCGCTCGCCAGGTCGTATGTCATGTGGAAGATCTGAGAGAGAGAGAGGGGTCAGACTAGAGTCAAAGTACCAAAGTTCAGTCTCAGAGGTTGGTTGTATTTCCTGGTTCTCACTATCCAAGTAATCCCAATTACAAATTTAGACTCATCAGTCCATATAACCTTTCTCCACATCTCAGATGTCCAGTTTCAGTGTTGTAGTGCAAATGTTCTTGTACTTACTGGCCATTTTGACTGGAAATGAAATAAATGAAGGGTGGTCTTTTAAACAGTTCTGTACACACACCTCAACTCATCAGCTACTCAACAAGTCCTCGCTGAGTTGAAGTGAATGCATCAGAGCAACAAAATACTAAAATGTGTAGCAAGGATCTTAGGACCAGGACTGAGAACCAGTGGTTTTGATTGCCAGATGTATGTATGGTCTACACTGGCGTTCCAAACTCAAGTTCTTGAGCCCCAGTTACACTGCATAGTTATTTTTCCCTGCTGTAACATATCATTATCATATCATTAGGTAATTAGCAAAACACCTTTTGAGCTGAATCACGTGTTAGAGCAAGAAAAAATTAAGCTAAGCCATGTAGCAGGTACTGTTAGAGTCTCAGCTAGATCTAGATCAGTCTGCACATTCCCGGAGGTCCACTTATAATATTTCATTTTTATATGACCATTTTTCAACTGCTATTTATCCCTTAGCGTTAAACAGGCTGTTTTGGTTACGGTGCTTTTAAAAGTTATTTTTTCATTAGAGCGCAGCAGCTGCCCTTTAATTGTGTGAAAACTTCATGATGAATGGACCAATAACCTAAAAACTCTATAGACCAAACTCTAAAAAACACAAGGGAAGTTGGGTTTCCATGATAACATGGAACACAGGCCCTGTAACAAAGTCTTTTCTGGGTTGAAGCAGGTGTGCTACAACAGGAAAACACAAAAATGTGCTGAGTAGGGACCTGGACCTGGGGACCTTTGCTCTGCACAGTTTGCTCCAACACACTTGATCGAACTCAGGAAGGGTTTGATAATAAGAAAATTCAGGCAGAAAACAAAGAAAACTGTGCTGGGCAGTAGGTTCTTTGGTCGTGATCAACAACACATATTTATGGGGTTCTAAGAAATGGTGAAACCATTGTGACTGTGTATCCACATTGCACTGGTTTCTCACCTCTTCCCACTGGTGTATGTAACGAATGAGTCTGGACAGTCGGAGTAATCTGAGCAGGCTGAGAATTTTGGTGAAGCGGACGATCCTCAAAGCCCTGGCAGTGCGGTACACTTCTGCCGACTCCACTCGAGCCTCCAGGTCCACCGCCAGGAAAATATAGTCCACTGGGATGGAGGAGATGAAATCCACAAGGAACCAGCCCTGCAGGTATCGGCGGCGGATTACCCGTGGATCCAGGATGATGTGGCTGTTATCTCCCTCCAGGATGCCTGTGCGGAAGTTTAAGACCAGGTCGGTCAAGAAAAGAGTGTCCGAGGCCATGTTGAAGATCATCCACGGCAGCGTGTTCTGATCCTCAAAGAAGGTGATGCCCCATGGCAGGATAACAAGGTTGCCCATCATCAGAAAGAGCATTACCAGATCCCAGTAGAACCTGGAGATTGAATAAAGAGATAAGGCTTGTTTGCTTTAAAAGGAAAAAATACTGTTGAAAAGATTGGTGTCACTTGTCAATAATTTGCTGTTATTTTATTCAGTAGTAACTTAAACAGTGTAAATAATATAATTAACCAATTGAAATAACGTATGCTAGACACCAAAAGGTCATTTTTTTTTTATAAATAATATACTGTAATTATTTCCTGATAAGTTACATGCATGAGATTTGATTAGCACGTTTCAAATGCAAGGTATCCTAACTGTTATGCAGCTTTGTCAGTCATCATTACAGTCATCTATGGCTCTGTTCATTCTGGACATATCTAAAGTTCCTCCAATCTCTAAGGTCTCCTACAAAGTAGCCCTACAAGTACTAACATTACATTACAATATATAATACATTAGAATATATAATCTATTTTATTATACATGTATCAGCAGCCAATTGGTTTTGTATTAAAAACAGTGATTGAACTTTTGAGTGGTAATGTGCAGGGTACAGACTGATTTTGTTTGGTATGGAACTGAGCACAGAATGGGCATGCACACTTATTGCTGTATTGGTTACGCATCTACTGAGTCTGTTAGTTCAATTTTTATTCTAATTCTTTCCTGTTCTTACTTTTTACTTACTCTGATTGTTGGAAAGCCCCTATCAAAGCTACTCTGTACATACAGCCTGCCTACAGGCCCCTTTCATTACAGCCATAATGTTTGATGTCATGGCAGCTTATGTCACATGCTAATTTTTGCTAAAGGTACTCAAGCAACCATGACATCAATCATGACATCAAAAACTGTCTGTCAAGACAATTACCGGCAATGGTAACATGATACTGTTATGTTACTGGGCATAATCTGTCATGACAACTCATGACAGCATATGACATCTGCTATGACATGTTTACAGCATGGTTACATCAATGTTGTGTAGCAGGACTGAAGGGAAGTGTTACATGCAATGTACTCGCTCGTCTGACATGATCAGGCTCAAAAATCTAGCAGTAGGCCCTGGCTTTGAGTACTTATAAGAAACATTACATTTGAAGAGGACTAGTAACATACACAAGATGAAGATGCATCAGCTGCCCATAATAAAAACATGGTTTAATATTTGTTTTCATGATTCTAATTTATTATCTTTTTCATTTGATATGGTTGGTTTCACCCTGCTAACTGCTAAAGTGGACTAAATTACACATGGGGGTGTTTGTTTACTGGTCAGAAATTTTGCAGTGATGCATTTCACCACCATGAAAATCTAAAAATATAAATAGAAAATATTCGAATTCGAATTTAATCCTGTCACAAGAACTATATGACAGTCTGTTAAAACAGGCAGATTTTCAAGACAGTAAAGTGCTGATGTGCACTGAGAAAAGCATGTTCTGGTGTTGAATTCTCTCATGTGGTGTGCACCATCGTAAAGGACCTGAATCATAACTGACTGAACTAAAGAAAAAGTCTGATAGGTCCTCATCAAACAGGATGTCAATATGCATGAGAGAATCCAAGTTTTTCCTAGATCTCTTACCTGCTGTGTGTACTGTTTATCTGTCAGTGGTTTGAGGTTTCTTCCTGTGGTCATTTTTTCCAAAGTGGTGTCAATCAACACCTCCTACTGACCCCTGAACTTGCCCTTGAACTTGACCACCAAATGAGCTCACAACTTAATTATACTTATCATCCCGTTGCAGCCATCTGACCCGTGTGAGAAACAATCAGCACCTTTCAGTGGTTGCTGGTACTTAATTGCTCTGGTGCTCATGCAGCCTGAAGTTTTATGTACATTACACAACAGCTATGACCTCACATTCGACAACTGATCTACATCTTTCCTGCCCTTAAACGGAAGATGTAAACGGAGAGTTTCTAGTGTGAAAGATTCATAACTCTGTAATCTGTAAGTATGGGGTTTTAGCATTCTACAAACACAACACTGTGAGTTGTAATTAGACCATGTAATGTGAGAAGCAGTTGGTCTAAACTGACACAGGAAAGCTCAGTGAAGGCATTTTCTCTGGCTGTCACTACACAGATATCGTGTACTGCTCCACTAACACAAACAAAAAGGTTTCAAATTTTCACATGTTGAATATTTCAGGTGATACAATTTTAAGTTCTCAATATACAAAGCCAATTTGACTCACTAAGCAAAGAAGCATGCGCGTTTTAGAAGGCCATGTGGTAGATGAAGCGTCTAATATTTCTACTAAGAACACCATGGCAATTAAGAAGAATGGAATTTTAATTTAAATAATAACTTACTTTAAATGTAGATTTACATAAAACATCCTATATATTCATCTTAAGTTAAATGCTCACAAGATACACTTAAAGCTTCTATTTACATTTTGGAACTGTCAAAGATTTAAATGGCAAAGCTTAACCTTTAGGTCTAAAACACTTAAAGGCAGATTTGCTAACAGAGGTGCCAATTACTGACATTCTACTGACACTCGTGCTGGTGGGGGTGGTCAATTTAGCAGGTTTTCTACTAAGAACTGCATGCAAATGACTGCAGATATAACTTCATAGTTAACATATGAGCAGTGCAATGTATCACGTGTTTGGTTCACATGCTTTTTTATGAAAGTCTATTTCTGCCTTTTTTTTTTTAACTTCAAACTTCAATGCATTAGATCAACATAATTTCTTATTTTCTCAATATATTAATTCAGTACCCATCCTGGTCATATGATCTTGAGCTACATGCAGGGCATCAAAGAATGGCAGTGACATCTCTGCATCACATCGCAGGAATAACAAAGTAAGTAGTAGCTTTAGTAAAGCAAGGATTGCAGAGCCAAAGAGTTTCAAGAGCTTTTAACAATCATTTTGGAAAAGAAAACTTTCAGATCATTATTTAGACAAAACCTGCTCTAGTGCTGTAAAATACATCCAAAGCAGCAGTTTAAAGCAGGTGGCAGGATACACGCGTTTTTTTTCTCCCCATGAAAAATGTCTGCAATGTTAGTGCCAAAAGACATAAGAAATAAGAAGTTTACTCAGGCGTTAAACCATGCAAGGTCAACATTTAAAGCCCACTGATTTTCATGATTTTCTTCTATTATCTCTAATTTTTGTGATGTTTTTACTATAAAGTGGCAGAGAAGGAATGAAGTTGTTTTTTACTGTTGAGAGTTTTTAAAAAAATACTTTCTTCTACTGTTTCTTCAGTTTGATTTGAGTTGGGTGGGACTAAATTTGGTACAGATGATGTCAGATCTGCCAAAGTACCAATCAGAGTTTGCAATATGTATACATCAGCTACTCGCATGCCTCTCCCTCACATAAAGTGACTGCTCTTCTGCGGCTCCAGTCCCAGACAAAACTCAAAGCGAGCAGGTTATTTAAGCTTTTCTATACTTGTTAACAGTGCTCATTATGAAGGTGTATTACACTGTTGTTTGTAATGTAGCTAGATGCTGCTTCCCATTTGCATTAGCCACCTTTCACAGAATCCTACTATAAGCGATTAACTTCATTTACAAATGTGCAATAGCTAACGGTCCACTTTAACTGTAGGAATAAATTGATACACTGTATGTCCAAAAGTTTGTGGACACCCCTTCTTATTAGTGAAATCAGCTGCTCTAAGGTGTGCTTAATGCTGACACAGGAGTTCAAATGCACATACAGCTTGTATAATCTCCATAGAAAAGCGCTGACAATAGAACAGGATGCTCTGGAGCAGCTGCACATGAGCCTAAGGTCACCATGTCCAGTGTTAAGTGTAGGCTAGAGGGGTATAAAGCTCTCCACCACTGAGCTGTGAAGCAGTGGAACTGCGTTCTCTAGAGTGATGGAGTACCAACCAATACCTTTGGGATGAGTTGGAATGGCACTTCTGATCTGGAACTAATCGTTCAACATCAATACCTGATCTCACTAGTGCTCCCACTGCTGAATGCAATCGAATCCTCATAGCAATGTCCCAACATTTAGTGTAAAGCCTTCCCCAAAGAGTAGAGACAGCTACTGCAGCAGAGACAGACATCCTCTTGATTTTGGAAGAAACACTGGATGAGCAGGTGTCCACAAACATTTGGCCATATAGTGTACATAAGCTTAGTGTTACCCCCCAACATCACTTTACAGCTGTGACGCAAAATAAGGCACACCAGAAATTTTCCCATAGTGTCCACAAATATGATGGTGGCTAGCTAGCTAAAGGTTACAGAAATAAAGTGCAGCAGAGCGCTGAAATATTGGACACGATATGTCTGTAATATAAGTTACCCATCATTAAATGAAACCCTGAGTTCTCGAGTATTAGCTTCAACATGTAATTAGATGTCTAAAATGATTAGTAGAGAGCTTATTCACCATTTTGCACTTTTTTATTCACCATTCAGAGTCTAGCCAAGAAAAACAGAGTGGTGTATTTTGCTGCGGGGGGACTTTAGTTCTTCAAAATCAAACACATACGCCGATCCTGCTGTGTGTGCCTCTCTAGCATCGTTAGCGGAGTCACTCACCACTGCCAATAACATTGGGTTGTTTTTGTTGCCACTGAGGTGCAACTATCAATCATTATATGATCTGATACGCCTACACACTATTAAATTGTATTAATGTATGTATATTTCCTGAACATAACACTGGTAAACGCTTATACTGCAGACTTTAATATCAGTTTTAGTAAACCGGAGTAGGTTCTCTCATTATAATAATCTAGTCTATAATAATAAAGTACTGGGATATAAAAATCCCAGTACTTTTGTACGGAAGTCCAGAGAGACCATGAGGTAATTTTCTGGATTGTTATTTTGAGATAACGAGTTAATTATCTTGTTATCTCAACATAACAATCCAGAAAATTATAGCAACAGCTCATGGCCTCTCCAAACGTCCGTACATTTATGCTTTTAAAGGGAAACTACTACAAATGCGTTCGTCTGTCTCATGTTACGTCACTGGATGACGAAGCGGTGGGTCCACGCAGTTCATAGTTCTTATTCATGGATAATGTCACATACTCTCTTGTTCACG